AGTTTGAAGCAAATTAGTGAAAATACTTGGGAAGGTGAAATGCAAAATGGTTTTTGCCCAATTGGTGCCAATGTTCAATTGTTTGTAGTGTTGAGAAATGGACATGTTGAAAGATATGATATTATTTATGGTTATGATAATGTTGCCAGATTGTATTAATAAATATCATTAGATTTTTCAATATTCCTTTGATTTGCCAAGTCTCTATTGGTATGTCTCATCAATTGGTGAAATGCATGTTTCATGTTTCTTCCCAAACAAAAAACCAATTGTTTCAAAGACAGTCGCAAGAGTAACAGGTGCAAATGTGAAATAAGAACAATGACCACAACCAAGTATTGCCAAACTGACACCTAAAGCAAAACGAGACAGTCCAAAAAAACCTACTTTAAGTTTCTCCTTAATATATAGGGCATTCACTTCCCAACTATCGGCCAATAGTGTGACTGCTATTGGAAGAGCACTCAAACATCCACCTCCCAATTTATAACACGACACTCCCAAGAATAGGGATATTATATAATTTGATAGTAAGCTTTGGATAGTAACTGTTGGTGGCACAATCATTTTGAAAATCTTTTTCAACTCACTGATGCTTACAACTCCCAAATAAATCCAAATTGGGAAGGAAAGATAATAATTGATCGTATTTACAAGTATATGGGAATAGCTCATCTCAATTCCAAGTATACTATACAGTAATGACTTTACAGAATACATTCCATATCCATTAAATAGTAGAATGAGTCCAGCAAATACAGGTATTGCCAAATTGGCAACGAATAAATTGACATCCTTATGAAATTTAGTGGTAAATCTATGAATATTCAATTTTCTCAATATTCCAATCCCTCTTAATAGTGAAAATGCTGTAAATCCACACCAAACACCTCCCAATAGAGTTTGCACGACGGCAAAGCAATACGGAATCCACCAAAACACTCCATTCCAATCTTTTTCACCAACCTGGTTACTGGAATACTGTCCAACACAAACCTGAGCAGCAATACTCATCAATGTGAGTATCACACCAAACAGTACAGTTGGATCTCTCTTTGCCACACGTGCAATCAGCTCCTGAACTTTTCTATCAAAAGCAGAAAATTTAACATCCATTCTAGCAAAATAAAAAGCATTCACCAATTTCTCCTTTGAATTCAGTGCCATTCTACATTCCTCTCTCTTCTCCTCCTCACTTTTAATTTGCCTCTCTATTATGGTGGCAGTGGAGGAGGAGGCGGTCCAGTAATCTCTCACCAAATCATAGATGGTTCCAAATGGTCGTTTTATCAATTTTTCAAATAAGAAACCCCTTCTCAAGTATTCACTTGTTTCAATCTTGATCATCTCGAATAGATTTATCGATTGATCATCATTTGTACTACTATTACTTGTATTGGAGAGAGAATTTTCAACAAGTTTTTCAAATCTCCGACAAGTATGAGATAATATGATTAAATCTCTTGGATTCCGAGAGGTAAAATTCAATATGGTGAGGAGCATTTCATCAGGCAATTCGAGTAGTGGTTGCTTCATTTTTTTTTGCTATTGTATGAACTTGTAAAGTTTACAATATTTTAAATATTTATTAAATATAATTAAATTCAATTATCCATATTAATACAAAAGAAATAATTTTTTAAATTAAAAAAAAAAAATGGCCACACGTTCCGTGATGAAAATATTCATGAAGAGTTATATGCAATTTGCAAATCGATACTATGTACCTTTCATGTTCAGGTTTGCATTGAAAAAGGCTTTGAAATTTGATCCGAATGTGATGAGTGGTCGACAATTATTGAAAGATATCAAGGATGAACAGGATATTTTGCTCCGATCACAAACTACAAGGAGTTTCATGGAGAAGGAAGCTCGTGAGAGGAATATGACTGATGATAGTTGGTTGCCTTTGGTTTGTCAATATATTGCATCGAATAAGGTGTTGGCTAGGGGGTTATTTGAAGGTGATGAAGCAAAAGCCATGTTGTATATTAATGATAGAGCTATTTCACCTCCTGTGGAAAGAATGATGCAATTGGTTTTGGGAAAAAAGAATCAGAAAGGTTTACTAGGTGGAATGTTATTTAGAAAGGATGAACAGAATGAAAATTCGGATGTTTTGGGAAATATGTGGACATTGATGTGTGTTACAAATGAAATGTTGCAATGTTGGATATTATCTCACGAAATTTATAATGAAATTTCTGAGCAGGATGGTCATGTACATAGGGTATCTTCAATTAAGGTTCACGACTGTATGCTCAATAGATTTTTCAGAGAGCATGAGGCAACTCATTTGATGCCAGTAATTTGCTCTTTTGACTCTGTGTGGGCTAGGAATGCTTTTGAGAATACTGGATACAAATACAGAAGAAATCAAACACTCAGCTTGGGAGGAAATCATTGTGCGTTTGATTTTTCGAAAGGTTTCGAAGAGAATGAGAAGGATGTAGTATTGGATGAATTGGAAAAAATAAGAAAACAATAATGAAAATGACAATTAATTTAATTTGTTCTTTTCCATTTCACTTTTAAGGATATTGGCCAACTTGTAAATATCAGGAAGTTGGAGATTTTGCTGTATCTCTTGAGGTATGTTTAGGGAGTAGTTGTCCTCGTGATTGTAAGAGTTGTTAAATAAATTATTTGGGTGTGACTGAAATTGAATACTTTCAAATAATTGGTTAGATCTTCTTTGCTTGAACAGTTCCATTCTTTCAATAAGATAGGCATACTTATCATTTCCGTATCTATCTTTCCATGTATTTAGCGCATTAATATCCAAATCTATCATATCCAAGAGTTGCTGCTCGAATTGTGATATAACTTGTTTGTGAGCTAATGGATTTTGAATATCTTGTGCACTGAAAGTTGAACCAAAGTAATTTGAAAGCTCCAAAGTTTCTACAATGGAAGCAAATGGAAGTTGTGAAATTTCTGAAAGTGCCTCCAACAATTCTAAATGAACCTCAGCCGCACTCGCAACTGAATTCATCAAGTTTGGTTTCAACAATTCAAAATTCTCAATAGTGGTACATTTTGTAACAACATTGGAGAGTTTTAAAATTTCAGAATTGAGAAAATGTAAAACTCCCTTATTTGTCATTGTGGAATTAGGGGAGGAGTTCTTTTGGGTTGCTTTGGTCTTTCTGTATACTTCCTTAACAAGGAATAACTTGGTACCAAAGACAAACAAGTTGAAAATACACAAGGCCAATGGTAGCTGTAAATCATTGAATTTTCTTCTCTTTTCATGTTCTCTGTAAATCTTGGAGAGGTTATCGATTATTTCCATGTATGAGGATAGATTGTCTAGGGTTGGTTGTACCTCTGTTAACATGTGAAGTACATGCTTAGGGATTCTGCCTGTGATATATAAATGCATATCAGCCAAAATTTTACAAAAGTAAGAACTGAAAGAATATCTCTTGAAATTGGATGAGTCCATCTTTACAAGTCCATCAGAGAGATGAAAAGTACCCTCTGGACTGACTTTACCCAACAGTGACAAGTCATTTGATGTTTCTGGTGATTTGATAGCAAATGGTGGATCGATACGTAACATGACAGGATATTGATCCTTGCCACATGCATCAAGAGTAATTCCACACAAAATTCTAAATTTGAGCAATTTAAAATCAGCCTCCTTTGGAAGTCTCTCATAAATGTGACGAGTAGGTGATGATTGAGTATTTCGAAGTAAGAGCTCAGTTGAATTAATTCCCAAATTTTGCATAATATTCTTAATATTAGGATCGTCAGCATGTTTGGTCATTAAATCCCTCAAAGAATTATCATTTGAATCTATTACATATTCTTCCAGTCTATCAAAGTCAATCTTGTGTCTATTTCCAAAGTAAAAATCAACAAAGTTCAAATAAAATTTTGCTGTATCAGAATCTCCCTTGCTTGCGCAATAAACAGACAAATGACAATATGTAGTAGCAACCAAAATATTTGACCAAGAATCAAAGAAATTAGCAAGGCAATTCTTTGCCTTTTGGAATGATAAAAATCCCTGTTGATCGTGTCCCAATGCCTGACAAGTTACAGCATGAATAGAGTATAACAGAGAAAGAATTTCAGGAGAGTAGTTTGAATTACTGTCAATACTTTCGCTCTCAAATAAAGCTTGCTCTATTAAATTAATGTCTACAAGTGAATATCCTAGAGAAATTACTCCTTCATAAAGTTCAATAGTTTTCTTCCTATAAGCAGCAATATTCAATTTTTCAGCAATTTGATTTTGGAAAAATGGTAATTGTGAAGTGTTTGATAGCATTTCAGTCCAGTTAATTCCATGTTGATCCAAATTATTTGAAAATCCCATTTGTGAGGCAAGAATTCGTTTAAGCTCATCTGTAAACTCTAAATGAACATCATTATTCTTACTTGTTTGTGGATATGGTTGATATCTAGAGTTATTGCTGTTGTTTGTAGTTGCTACCACTGTTGTTGATGAACTAGCTTTGGCTGATTTAGTATTTGATTGATTATTATGTCTTCCCTTCTTTTTTGGTGACCTGTAAAGACAATCAACACCTCTTTTTGTGCATTGCGAACAAGAAGGCCACATTTTATCACACTTTAAAGTAATAAATATTAATTTGTTGTTAAATTGTTATTCACTTACCTTTTTGTGCCTACTTCTGCAGTTAACACAAGCAATTGGGAAATACATCTTCTCAGGATCTTGATTCAACTCGAGTGAACCAGGATGTGGCACGTGTTCATCTTGATTATTATCCATAGGCTTTTCTGTCAAACTTCCATTACTGCTGCTTGTAATCATTTGGTTATCATTTAAATTGGTAACATCCAAACTAGGGTTTTGGTTATTATTATTAAACATATTGGATGAATTAGATGTCGTTACTGTTGTTGGTTGAAGAGTGTTAATGATTTGTTGTAGTATCTCATCGTTTGAATTATTCATATTTACTGTTGATACATTGTCGTTCGGTTTCATATAATTATTTACATCAGAAAGTAATAATTGTGTCATATTATCCATATTATTGTTGTTATTCATATTATTGTAATTGTTATTATTATTATTAGAAGGGAAATATTGATTTGTTGATTGTAACAATTGGTTTAAATCGAGATTATTCAATAAATTATTATTAGTGGAGGGGTTTGGTTGATTAATGGCTTTAGGAGTTTGTAATCCCATCATTAAATTTTGAACAATACTTGATGAATCCATAGTACGAGAATTTAATTGACCATTTGATGTTGATGATGGAATTAAGTTATTGTTACTACTTGAATATTCTCCACCATTTTGCTGTTGTTGTTGTTGAGAGAATAACAAATTGATGAGCATATCCTGTTGATTGTTTGTTGTATTCATCATTGATTGTCCTCCAACAGTGTTATTATTATTGCTTTGATTTGTTTTAAAGGAGGAAGGAGTATTGCCGATGATGTTTTCCAATGATAATGCTCTATTCATAGAAGAGGAGGTTGCTGTTGGATTGTTTAGTTGTGTGGATGGAGATAGAAATTGTTGGTGTACACTCGACGATAGATTCAAAGTATTGGTGAGTTGGCTGTTCAATCCATGTGGTGGACTATTTTGGGTGTTCGTAAATTGTTGACTATTAATTAGGTTTTGGAGTTGCTGTTCGAGCAATAAATTTTTATTATTGTTATTACTCAAAGATCCATTATTATTATTATTCAACAGTGTCGTTGTTGTTGATATGGACGAATTGTTTGTCGTGAGCATCTGTGATGATGAGGAATGCTGCAGCGATTGTTGCTGTTGTTGTCCAGAGTTTGATGGTTGTTGGTTTGTCCTCATTTTTTTTTGATGATGTGAAACAATCATGGAAAGGATAAACGTATTTTTGTGGCCAAATTTTCCAGTTTCTATTTTTTTCCTAGAACATATTGGGCATTACATACTATTTGAAAACAAGTGGACACATAAAGAAAGTAAGGAACAAAGTTTGGTAAGGATCCTTCTGTGTAATGGAAGAAGAACTAAGCTGGTTGGCCCACTCTATGTTACTAACGAGTATGTAAAAATCTGTGAGGATGATTTCTCTTGGTTTCTTCATAAACTTCCAAACAAAATCCAACATGCATTTGAAGGTGAAGATATCTTCTGTGTAAAAGTGGTGACCTCTCTGTCATTTGTTTGAGGTTTCTCAGGTCTTGATAGAGATATTGAGCGAGCTCTTCTACGTAATCATACAATAAATTAATGCTTGGATCATTTAGTAGATTGGATAACACATCATAGTGAATCTTGGCAGCAACTTCAACTGAGTAAATAACAGGGAGTTGGCAATACTTGAAAAATGGTAATTGGGTTACCTTGGTAATTTCATTGGCGGCAGAGGTTATATCTGCCGAAGAAGATATTCTGTACTTGTGTTGTTTGAATAGAATCAAAGCTTTAACTCCAAGACAAACAACAAGGAATGTGTAGGTACGATCAGAATTCATACTTGAAAATACCTTCACAATCATGTCCAATTTTGTCATTATTTGTTGAACTGGTTCTTCCAAGCTGAAAAGTTGTGGCCTTCCAGAGTGGGACATAATAGATGACCTAAGTTGGTTGAATGTAGGACTGCTCACAGCAGTATTGAGACACGCAATGTGCTTCTCAACAACAAATTTAGAATACTCATCAAAATCTAAAATGTCACCAAATGTCAAATTGTTGACAATTTTCTTATTAATTGCATCAATCTCACTTTCCACAACATCTGTTAGTGAGGATAATTAGAAAATTAATAACCAAAATTTAACAACATACCACTCAAATAGAATAATTCTGAAACACATAGACCTTGTCTAATAAAACTACAATGTTCATCCATGTCCTTTTCTCTTTCTTTCAAATACCATGTGCAAATAGAATAGAAATATTTGGATCTTGCCACACAATCCAAATAACATTTAGAGTTGGCTGCTTTTGAACATGCTGTGGCTGAAGAACATTTGGATGGACTTTTGCATTCAGCACTCAATAGATAGTATGCCATCAACGTGTACGTATAAATGACAGAACTGTCATTGGTTTGATCGAAACACTTGGAAATGTGATCTCTTCCCTTCTCGAAAAATATTTTAGCAAATCCCATATTACCAATCCTGAAGAATGAAATAGCATGCATTAAAAACAAGAATGCCAGCTTGGAGTTTCCTAGGGGCTCTCTAGGGTCAATCTTGTCTTCCAGCTCGCTCTCTAGGTCAGTTTTTCCTGTAATAGAAACACTGAGCCAATACATTAATTCATCTCTGTTGGATGGTGGGACCATAGAATAGGAAAGACTCTTATACACATCTAATGAAATATTGTCAAAATATTTTCTATCAAGCTCAATTTGTCGTAAGTTATTGAGATAGGCTCTTTCATTGATATACCTTGATTCTCTTTTCACTGGAATTGGAACTGATGGAGGTGATTCCTTCCTTTTGGATATTGTTTTGCTCTTTCTCTCAGTAATTACAGATGAGTCATCAACAAATTGATACTCTACAACACCTGTCAATGAATTATTCGAATTTAGTATGGTTTTTGGACCTCTTTTTCTTGCTTGAGCATAAACACATTGCTTTTGTGAACGTAGACAATTGGAGCAACCAGGATAAGCCACACGGTCACACTTTTTGTGATTCAACTTGCAAAAGATACAAGCATTATTCATCAATACAACATCTACATTTGTTGATTGAGCTGTTATTGAATCTATATTTGAAGGACTTGTTTTATCACATGAATTAGAGGCTTTAGAAGATGCTGTAAATGTTGATGAACTCTCGGATGAGTTGTGTACAAGTAAACCTGTATTCAGCATTGTGAATGGAGTATTTACCTGTGTAAGATTGAAGAAGTGATCAGTTGTATTGTTGGTAGTGTTTGTTGGTAATGTTGGAGTCTTCTTCTTCGTACTTACAAAGGCTGGATTGAAATTGTTTTCCATTTGATTATTACTCCTCATCACATCACTTGATGAAGTGGCTGATGAGGTTGCATGATGATTAGATTGTTGCGCCATCATTTGTGTGATGTTATTGTTGGAGAACATGTTTTGTGAATTAAATAAGAGGTTTGAGCCAACATTAGGAAGAGTCACCCTTTCGCTCTGACCAGTCCAGGAATTTGTCTGTTGGCATGTTGACGAAGAAGGCTGCTGATGCAAGTTCAAATTAAATTGCTGATGTTGTTGTTGATGATGTTGCATTATCAAAGGCTTCCGAAATGTGTGTTGATAACGATGAAAAATCTAATGGTGAACACCTCCTAAAAGATATATTAACAAATCGCAAGATGCAGCTGTATGCAGATTCGCTTTTTTAGAGAGAGGTACAGCTGATGAGAGCAAGAGAGCTTGGAACTTGTATTTTTTTGTTGGAAATCGCCGTTACTCTCGTGGCCAGCAACTCCATGCTTTGTGTCAGATTGTATCTGAAAATTTCACTATTTTGGAGTTTGAAAGGTGAGATTCAATTTTTTTAAGAGATAAAACAGACGCTTCGTTAGGTTGAAATACAATACTAAAAAAGATCTTTTTTTTTTATATAAAACAAAAACTTGGTGAACCGAGTTTTTGAATTATCGACAATTGTATTCAATGTTTGAATAGGAATTAACTTTAACGTGAGATATTCCATATTGGAATCAAAGTTATGTTATTATTGGTGATCAAGCTCATTATGAAAAGAATTCTTAATTAGCAACCATTCCAAGCTAATAAGTTGCCAAGTTGTGATCGAAATTTAGGAGTTTATTGATTTTCGATATGAATTACTTGTCAACTGACTTGGACATCTTTTTGAGAGTTTTCTTGAATGCTTTTGATGATTCATCCAAACATTGATTTGCTTTCTTTTCAGTTTCTGCATGAAGAATGCATTGTGCCATTGGTAAACTCAAAGCTGATTTACAATAATCCAAACAGCTCTGTTGCCATTTCTTCATGGAATCTCCCGATTGTTCTTGAATGGCTTGATGAGATGATTTTTTAATATTTAAAATCTCCTCTCTGAGTGTTACTTGTTTGTTCTTATCATAGAGAAGGGGAACGAGATGAGAACAAACTGTTTCGCATTGATCTTGGTTGGTTCCTGTTCTTCTCAATTGCTCCTTCACTTCTTTGGTGTTCTTTTTGTCTTTGCCCATTTTTTTTTTGAAAAGATTGTTGTTTGAAGGGATCGTCCATTTTGGGTTTAACTTGATTTGTGTGTTTCGTATTTGTTGATTTACTTAATGAATTAAAAACCTTACATAGCATTTTCCAACAAGTATAAAGCTAAAAAATTACAACCGCCCCACGTGGGGCTCGAACCCACGACCGTTGGATTAAAAGTCCAACGCTCTACCGACTGAGCTAGCGGGGCTGCTCATGAGTAATGAAAATTAATGTTTCTTGAGGCTAATAACGAAACTAACTCTGAATTATTACGTTGCAATTGGTTTGTTATGTCTGAAATTACAAATTATTGCTATTTGGTATCTTCATATGAATAATAGTTTGAAAAAATGATGCGTAAAGCCACCGTGGAAACGGAACAACCTCTTCATGTACAAACTTTTGATAAAATAATAGAAGATGTGATGAGCAAGGAAGAAATTACTCTCCCAATCGGATTGTGTATTGAAGATTTGGAAATTTTGTGTGAGGCAATTAGTAATGTTTCTACTCTCCGAAAATTGACCTTCATCGGAGAACTTTCTGGCATACAACAACAAGAATCTAGTTTTGTTGATGAGGAACAATTTGAATTAATTTCAAAATCAATTTTAGGAGGAGCCAGTAGCTTGCAATCCATCGGGTTCTTGGCAATGCACTTGAGAGATGATCATTTAAATTTCTTCTTGAATATTGCTAAAAGTTTGTCAGAAACTAGCTTGCCTGTTTCTTCATTGGAATCGATTGTTTTTTGTGGAAATGAATTTACTGCTGAAATGACAACAACAGCCACTTTGCAAATTAAAGAAATCTTTAAGAATGTTAAGGAAATACATATGGATGAAACAACAAGAGTGGATGAATCTGCCTCTATTTCTCAACAAGTTTCAAACTTGGAGCTCTAATACATTTATATTCTTTAGTTCAAATTATAATACATGTTTCAAAAATTATGCAGATTCTATTCCAACATGTTATGGAAATAACTCTTATTCTTGCTTCCTATCTATCTCTTTTCAAGGAGCTGGAAAGTTTTCATCTTTTGGATTACGATACAACTCAAAGTTTAATCCATTCTAATTGGAATAATTCTAATCCTCACCAATAATCTGTAAAGACATTTTAAAGTGGTGTAAATAATTATTTGAAAAACTGATAATACAATCACTTTCCAAAAACATCCTTACAATTCTTCCTTCCTTTCATGGCTTTCTTTTTAAATTACGAATGTTGACAACAGCAAACCCAAAAAAAACAATCGTTCATTACGACGACAATTAATCATCTGTTTTCGTTCTGTGGAAGTGACATTGTTTTCCATCTTACCACACAATCCATTATTCAACAATTGTGTTCGAGGTGTCAACCACAAGTGTTGTTAGTTGACCATCATCATCAAAAGCATGGGCAACAAGGCCACAAAATTCGAACCAACTCCTAACAACAATCATCATGAGGAAACTCCACTATCTTCCCTAAGAAAATCCTCCACTACTACTAATAACAACAACAACTCAACCCGATCCTTTCGTTCCAACTTATCGAGAGCAAACACCAATTCACTCTCAAGACCAGGAGGACTCACTTCAAGTCGTTCTCAGCCTACATTGGTTCGTTTCAGAGAGAATACTACTGATGATGAAGATAGCAGTGATGAGGATGAAGACAAAAACCGCCAAAATTCTGAAACTCTAAAAAGAAAAACACCAACAGGTTCATCGCCAGCGGCTGTTACTGATAATTCTTCTTCCTCTTCACCATCAAGATCTTCCGTGTCTTCGCCAGCAGCTAGGAACAAACGACGTTCAATTTTATTGTTTTTAGGAAGGAATAATGAAGATGAACAACAACAGGAACAACAACAAAATGGGATGCAATATTTGGGGAATGATATAGTGATGAGTGATAAGGTGATGGATAGGAGTACGGAATTGAATGAATCGTTTCTGAGGCAAATGAAGAGAAGAACATTGAATTTGGGTTCTGCATTGTTTAATAGAAAATTAGTTTCTAATAACTCACCATCTTCGAGCAGTGGTAGGTTACAATCACCTCTCACAGCATTGAATAGTTCTACCGTTAGTGTGCTTGCACAAATGCCACTTTCGGATGATGATTCGGATATGGAGGAAGAAACTCCAAAAACACCAACAAATAACAGATTATCACTTGTGATAGAGAATGTTCCTACAGTTTCAAGCCCAAATTCTTCTCCTACAACAAATACAATGAATTACAGTGGTGAACAATCAGTCATTTCCTCTCCTCTTAGTGGTCCAAATAACAAACAACTCAATTCACCTGGTAACAGAAAGAGTCAACTCTTACTCAACCTAGTTATGATGGGCAGAAAGAATGTGAAAAATGTGGAATCAGCATCTGAAAGTAGTGGAAATTTGAATCAGAAAACAGTTGTGGAGCTAATTCAAATGGAAAATGAAAACCTGTCAAGGACTCCACCTTCTCCTTCTGGATCTTCAACAAATTCATCCACATCAATGAACTCTATCCAGATGACATTTAGTCAAGCACAATCGAACAACAAACTTCCATCTCCCACTCCTTTGCATGCTACAACATCTAGCTCAAACCTTACAAGACAACATTCCCAGTTGTCCTCTCGAAGAAAGAGTATTGGTGCTTTTGTTTTTGAGCCATTAAGATTCAACAAAATTTCCAATCATTCTATATCACCAAATACCAACAGTATCACTTCCTCTCCTAATATTAATAACAGTAATTCTAAAACTACAATTACAAATGATGTATCCACTACTAACAGTCCTTTTAGTAATTCTTTACATACCTTACCAACAAGTACTACTCGTAACACTAGTCCTTCAACCTCTACATCTATCATTTCTTCACCTAACATTGTCAAGAATACAAGTGCTAACAATCTATTGACAATCAATTTTCCAAGTCATGCAACATTGACACCTACAACATCTCAAAACTCTATTTCACCTTTATCTCCTAGGTCACCAAGATCACCAATCGATAGAACTCTTGGTGAATCAAGAATAGAGCTTAGAAAGAAAGTCTTCTCAGTTCGTCTTGAAAATAAGGAAGGATCCAATAATTCTCTCGTTTCACTTGCATTCAATGGAAAGGCAATAGACGAAACCAACCATTCGCATCATCATGAAGGTGTATCAGATCAGGAGGCTGCAGAAATTGATCATGCCAACCTGATAGATTACAAGTTCCACTTTTTATTTTCAATGAGTACAACTGAAGGACTAATTGATAAACAGTTGGACTTGGAGGATTTGGAAAATTCATCACTCTCTGGAACTATAGAGACCGACTCACACCGATTGAATCAGAGTATGATATTTCTCTCATCTGCCAGTAACTTCCACGATAGGAATAGTAGAAAGGCCTCATACATCAAGGGATTGCAAACCATATTCGAGAAATTATACAAAACCCAAATGAATTTGAACGAGAGCCATGTGGAAGATTATGAAATTCACCAACAAGACAGAGATACATTCAAGATGACTCTCATGTTAGGTATTCCTCACCTTGCCGACAAGATGATCAAATCAGAATTGGATCAAGTTCTTCAATTTAATGGAGAATATGAAACCTATGTGGAGAAAAAGAGAAAGGAGAAGAGAGACCTAACTATTGCTTTACAAAAAATGGTGCCCAACACAACAGAATACGAGTTTACAAAGGGTAAAATTGATAACTTTTTAATTTTGAAGAGGGAAGAATTTTTCCTTGCTGGAAGTGATGTTGAATCTTCCAAGGTTTCTTCAAAAGACAACTCATCCAACAACTTACTAATTGACACTTCAAATGTTTTCAGAATTGATAGAATCGATTCGACATCTAACTTTATTTCTGAGAAGGAACGAGTTTTAATTGAGCAAGACCAAATCAAGCTCAAACATCCAATCAAATTATTTATCCTCTTTACAACTAACAATAACCAAATTACAAATGCTCCTAATGTTCCAGGAACATTTGTAAATTCTAAATTTTTCATCAAGTTGTTATCCAAGATTGGTAAGATTACTGGTCTTTTGCCACAGTTTGGATTTTTGCACATGTCTTTGATAGTATCATCAATGAGATTTGATTGGCTAGATAGTGAGCTGTGTGTTCCAAAGACCAAACTCAAGTCCATGAGGGCTATTGCTTGTGTGGAGGTTGGATCTGTTGACAACTTTTCAGATTTAAAGAAGGTGACCAAAATTATGGGCAGCAAAATTAGTTTCTGGAATAGAAATATTCACTATTGCAGAGGAATTGGATATCACTATAACACTAGTACAGTGGAAGAGAAGGCCAATCATCAAGGTAGTTGTCATCAATTTGTATTTGATCTGTTGGATTCTCTCAGTTCTGATATTACACTAGTATCAGAAAAACCATCTATTATTGGTATGCACGATTTGTTGAAAGACGATTTGCTGCTGGGAAAGAAAGGATGTATTGGGTCATATCTCGATTGGTGTGCCAATAATCTGGTTAGAGATTCACCTCAACCAGACAATTCAGAATGGTGCAGAATAGAATTGGGTGAAGCAAGGAGAAAGCAATTTGCCCCTCTACTTAGAAACAAGATTAACCAACTCTCCTCTCAGATGATTATTGATGAAGAGGAAGATGATTCTAGAGAAATCCAACTCACGAGCTATAACAAGACTCTCAACTTGATTCTATTTGGTAATTCGTTTATTTCCAGTCAAAAGAGGAGAAAATCCAGAGCTCTTTCGATTGGCATAGTTAGATCTCCAACCTCCTCTCCATCAACACCATTATCTGAGGATTCTCCACGTAAAAAGAAGAAGAGTGATTCTGTTTCGAGTGGAACTGTTGTTATTTGTTTCCCAACTCATTCCTCTTTGGATGAATTTGTACGGGATATGGTTGAAGTTTCCAAAGATGAGCAAAAACCATTCAGTATTACTCCAGAATTTTACTTGTTGAAGAGTTTTGATAGAGCTCTTTGGTTGAGAAATAATTTTGACAAGAATAAGATTTGTAGAGATTTGGACAATTCTAAACTCCCAACTCATGAATTTCTTGTTGGTGACAATAGAAAACGAATCATTCAAGGCAAAGACCCTCTTACCTCTCTAGATTATTTAGATGAATTATTGTACAATGATGAGGAAGATTCTGCTCTGGAATTGATTAAATCACTCAAGAATGAACCAGCTAAAATCAGAATTTCAAATTCCAAGAACAATGGAAAGGCCAGTTTACCGACTATGAAATGTTTGTGCCCATTCGGTGACCCTAGAAGAGAACTTCCCTTCATAGAAAATGCCACAATTCCAACTGATTAATAATTTAGTCTAAAATTTACAAGTAATGATCCAATAAAATAGAAAGCTCTAAAATTTATACTCTACTAAGCCAAATATCACTCTTACCAACTCCATTGATAATAAATCTGGCTATTTGATCGTAGGTTGGATTGATAAAGGTTTGGGAAGGAGCTCTCTTAACGAAAAATCCCCAAACATAACGAGGCTCTTCCAAAACTGTTATTTTGTTAAAACCTGCTTTCATCAAAGCTCCCAAAACATTCAAAGTATATCTGGTAATTTCCACAACAGTATTATCAACGAGTGGGAGTAATTGTTTACCACCTTCAATCACAGATCCTTCATTTCCTTCAACATCAATTTTAAGAATTGTAATTCTCTTCTGTTTTTTAATGTGCTCACTGAATGCATCATCCAAGGATACTGATAATATTTGATCATTTGAAACTGTAGTACTCTCAAATGCATAGGCAGATCCCTTATTTTGATCATCTCCATATCCAAATGAGAATGATTTACCAGAAACCTATATTACATCCAAAATTTAATTTCCACATTGCAAAATGTTAAATAATTGTGAATAAATAGATGAATTATTGCTAAAACTTACACTAGTTACAGCATTATTATGGACTTGAATATTCTTAAATCCATTAATTGTAGCAGAAGCTTTAATTCTCTCAACCATTTCAGGTTGAACTTCAAAAGTAGAAACTTGACATCCATAAGCTGCACTCAACAAGGAGAAGAATCCTAAATTTCCACCCACATCAATCATATTACACTCAACATTTGGTTTCTTGAATACGTCATCCAACACTTCCTCAAATGTTTTTTCAATAGCACTTTCCCACCATCCTCTACGAACTAATTGATTAGAAATCCAAACATCACTCTTCGGAGATAGTGTCAAAATCAAGAATGAAGGATTTGTATTCGTCTTGACCAAATACAAACTCTCCTTATTCTTATTAGCATAGACTGGACCTGCCATCTCTACGGCCCAATCAGGTCCATTATACACATAAATAAACCATCTCAATATGAACAAAATTATAAAAACAATTAATAGGAGAATGAATAATCCCTTTCGAGTACAGAGCAAACTTCTCAACATGCCTCCAATCCTACGCGGAAGTGTTGATGTTTTAATTTGATCGTATTGTCTTGTTGATGATGATGATACTGATGAAAAACTCTCGGAACGTTGTGTTGATGATGACGGCATATTCTTTTCAATATCGAAAAGTTCATCACCGACATGTTGTTGTTGTTGTTTGGAGTGATTCTCATCATCCGTATTGGTGTAATTATTCTGATGAGGAGGGTTGTTGTTGGATGATGATGGGGTGATGGTAGAGTTTCGTTGTTGCAACATTTTTTTGTCTTTTGAAATGTTGGTGGATTACAAAATTGATCAGTGATTTGAAAAAGAAAAGAATGTTTTAAATCAGGATAGGTTGATCAGTTTTCATAAAATTGGTTTAAGGGAGATAAGTGAAAAAACAATGTTTGGAGATGCGGGGTATCGATCCCCGTACCTCTTCCATGCTAAAGAAGCGCTCTACCATGTGAGCTACATCCCCTTACATTCATTTTGCAAAAAAAGAACAAAATAGACTTGTTGCCTTAATAAATTACCTTTTGTTTTTTATTAATATACACTGATGGAGTTGATAATTTCAATGATTAGATTCTCAATTTTATAACCTAGTTGAGAAATGTCAGATGAGCTGCTCAATCTCTTTCTATATTCAATAATACACATTCTATTACTCTTTCTTGGATCAATTCTGAATGAAGCCATTGAAATAAACATGTGCAAACCTTCTCTAGAGGTGAATGTCCACTTATCAATTGTACTTCTATCAGAGAGACACTCATTCGATATCTGACTCTGAATATCTTTAGAGCGAGCAATGTTTTTGCAAGATCCATTCGAATCCTCATCCATTTCTCTTTTCAATTCAACCACTTTACTATCTTCATTCACAATCATGATATTGAAAATGTCATACTCCAATGAGGCATCTTTCTTTGAGATAACCTCAAATGTGTTGGAGCATCCAGATGCTGTTGCACAATGTTCCAACATGTGAAAATTGGAAGGAAGCATAAAGTTGTATCCACTAATGGCATGCATTTCCATGGATGCTTGGTTTCTCTTTCGAAGTGATTTAGTTGGAGCTGATGTTTCATTGAGTGAGAGAGTGAAATGTACTTGGCATGCATTCAATGGTGCTGATGTTGATGCTTTCCTATTACATGATGTAGATGGAGTGAGACCTAATAATTGGTCAAGAACAATTCCCTTATCACTTGATGCAGATGGAAATAAATCATTCATGGAGAATGTCATCATTCCCTCAAACATGTTCTCATTCTAATGCATCATCAAATTTTGAAACGAATTAACACATGTGAAAAACTATTTTTGAAATAACTACTTACTTTTTTGATAAACATTTTGGTGCATTCCTTGTAAAGTGCAATTGATATGGAATGTGAATGATTTCCTTTGAGAAAGACTTGATATTTAGTCTGAATAGGAACCTTCTCTTCATGAACAGGCGAATTGACCAAGTTCATCTTTCCAAACTGTTCCAACGAATAGTTCCACACATGAATCGAGTCCACACAAATCTCCAACTGATACGGTTTCATATCAAAACTCCAATTCCTACCCTTGAACATTCTCTTATCCATGAATTGCAACACCAATGAATGAACATTAATATTCAACATGTTGTTCAATTATTATTCAGTTGTTGCTTTCTTTTTTTTTGAAAAGATAACTGAATGAATGGAATGCACATGTGTTCCAATGGATAACACATTTTGCTAGCATGGGAATACATCATTTTGGCAGATTGTCCAAATGTGGAAGTTGCATTTTTCAATACAATGACCAAATATTCACAGACATGGACAAATGGTGGCGTTGAGAGATACTGCTTCCATTCATGGAAATTTGAATTTCTTCAAGTGAATTTTCAAGCCATGGATGCATGTTACATCAATATCTTCTTCCTTAAACTCCTCTTCTTTCTGTATTAAGGTTTCATGTTGTTTTGTTTTCTCCTCCGCATTGCCATCCCTATTACTCACATGATGTTGTAATTGATGATGTTCATGATGATGAGTATTCACCATTGGATTGATAGAGTATTTTCTCCTATGAAAATCAATGCTATTACTTGTAAATATGTTAGTGGATTGAAAGTTGACATAACTTGCATGCAATAAACCTTCCTCTGATGCTGATATGAATGGTAAAGATGAGGAAGGTATCTCCTCTCGTACTGGTTCTTGTACAGTAGAAGCAGCAGTTGCAGTAGCTGAAGATGCCTCAACATCCTCTGTACTACTACAGGAGTATAGCAGAGGAGAGGATCCATCATACTGACTCTCACTGAGTGTATTGGTGGAAGAGTATTTGCTGTTTGATGTGGAGGATGAGGTCTTGGTGGCTATAGATGCATCCTCTATGGAAATAGATTCGGATGATGTCTGAACATGTGGTTCATTCACAACTTGGACTCCAGGAGATGCACTATGAAACCCTAGGACCATTTGTTTCTTGGAAGAGGATGCTTGTTCAACATTCTCTAAAGTAGCATTCATCTCGTAATGATTAGTGGAATCATCATCTTGTTGGTCTGTAATGTCTTTTTGAATAACATTCTCTTGATGTTCAGGAGTATTAATTGATGCAATTGTTTCAAACATAAGGAAGGATGAGAATCGACTGACCACTTGTCTGCCGAAACTCGATAAACCAAACACCAAGAGCAGCATGATTGAGCAAACTCCCTTAATAAACCTCTCTATCCAAACTATCATGTAAATATGTAAAAAATTGATGTGATGATTGTTATAAGTGAAGATATTGAACAATCAAGTTGAAGAAAAGAGAGAGTGCGTTGATACTTTTTTAAATACACACTTGTGTGTGAAACAGAATATTGCGTGTCGTTGTTGATAATCTCGTTTTGTGTCTGTGTGTTGTGGTGTGAGAATTTAACAACCAACAACAACAACCAACTGTTTATGTACAATATGAGACTGTAAATGCATCATCTTATCAGCATCACACGAAATGGAGACCTTTGAGGGATTATTTGTTAATCATCCTCAAAGTGAAAATACGAATGGCGAAAGCATGAATTAATTGGATTCAAAGAAAACATGCAGGGATCATGGCAAGTATATTTGGCAAGTCAAACGCCTTAAAATGTATAAAACAACTTTCCAAAAAAGCATCCCCTTACTTGCCTTAATAAATTATCTGACCTATCTAACACACTCGGGCTAATAAATTGTATCACCCTTCGCATTCCAATTTGTTATAGCATACATGAAATCCATATTGAAACAACAAGCTTATATTTGATGACGAGATTCGGTCATTCGTTTACTTTATACTTTATAGGCGGGTGTTTGATTTTGGATCATGAAATTATCTAATAAAGGTTGAATAATTTCCCAATTCATCAATTCATTCATTTCAATAATTATTTGTAGACCTGAAGAAGAATCTACAGCAAGAGAGTGTGATCTTTGACATTTTCACATGTAGAGCAATTGGTATTCCTTAAATTTTCTCACATTTGTGAAATTAGAAGAAGAAGATTAACCTATTTCTTTAATCAATTCTATCAATTTAATCAGTAATAATCTCAAAGATTATCAATTTCAAATTTTCTAAATTTTGATTAAAGTGTTTAAAAAAAATGGAAATTGCTCATCAAGAAGCGCTCAATGTTGCTAATTTTCTCGTCATTGATGATATTATTTATGAGGTAATGACCTTTTTACATTCGGAATTTATCATTCGGAATTGTTTGATGGTTTCTAGGCAGTGGTATGGTGTGGTGAGGAGAGTTTCTTTAGAATTGAATATTAAAAATTCTGATCAATTAAATTTATTAATTGATGGCTATGATGATGGACTGAATCCAAGAATGGGTCGATTAAATATTCTGCCACAAGTGAATAGGTTTATTTATGAGTATTATTCAAAACTTGGAAAGGATTTGGTGAGGAAAATAACAAATTCGATGAAGAATTTGAGAGAATTGGTACTTGTTGGAGTTGAGTTAGAAATTGATGATGTTAAATGCTTGGTAAATAGTCAATTGACCAGTTTGGATGTTTGCGACAATAGTATTGGAGATGAAGGGGTTACTCTAATAGCTAATTCATTAAAGCAATTAACAAAATTAGGAATTGGACAAGTAGGAGTTGGAGATGAAGGTGTTAGACAGTTAGAAAAATTAACTCAACTTACAGAACTCGATGCTAGTTGTAACGATTTCACAATATCTGTTCTTGTACAGGTTATAGATAACTCTCTGAAGCAATTGAAAACACTTTCAGTTTATTCATGTAACATAGAAGATGAGCATATGAAAGATATTACCACTCTCTCCCAGTTGACATCCCTCTCGGTCGGTATCAATAGAATAACCGGAAATTCATTGAAACTTATAGGATATTCAATGAAGGACTTAACATATTTGGAAGTTGCAAATAATGAAATTGGAGATGCAGGTACTGAATACCTTTGTAATTTGAAAAAATTGAAGGAGCTCAGTATTTCCTCAAACAAGATTAGCCAGTTAGGATTTGAACATATAAAATCCATGGACCAGTTGAGAATACTTCAATGCAATAACACCAACATAATGAACCAAGTATCTACAATGTCTCATTTGGAAACACTAGTCGTTATTAGCGATTGCAAAATTAATATTGAAATATTTGAAAGCATGAGCAAGAATATGAAAAGCTTGACGAAATTAAATCTATACAAAAATGCTATCAATGACATGGACTTTGTGAGGTTTATTGCTTCTATTCAGCATTTACGTGAGCTGCACCTCGAAAGCTGTTCTATTAACGATAATTCAGTAGAAATTATTAGCTCAATCCAAAATTTAAGAGGTTTATTTGTCCCTTCAAATGACATTACAGATGGCGGTGTAAAGCATTTAACAAAATTGACCAGTCTCAGAGAGCTGGACATTTACTGTAATCCTATTGGCCTTGAAGGTGTGAAAATTATTAGTTCAGGATTAAAAGGATTGACCTCACTAACCATTAGCAAGAAAGATATTGGAGAAAGGGGACAATATTTGATTCGTTTAATGAATTTGGATACACTTACTTATGTGGATAAATGAAAAACAAATTGTAAGATGTAGTTTAATGAGCTGGACTAGTGGCAAAACTATTTATTTTGGAAACATTTCACAAAAAATGGGAAACAATTCTCAAATCTTGAAGTGAGGTATAGCAAACATTTTGATGAATCAGATGATGATTATGAAACCTCTCTTAAATATTAGTAAGAACCAACTTTTAATTTTCCTTGCCATTGGTGAATAGAAAGTTCTTGAAGATTCTTCTAACTTTCTTTGAAACATAGTAAATAGTTGAATTGGTAGCATGTTTTATCCAATACAGCATTCTCTTAATGTTGCACTTTTCTGCAATGGTAGCATACAGCATGAGATTGTGGCATAGCTCATTTGTGCAAGGAGATTCATCCATGATTTTAAGGTCTGCCCTTCATTGAATCTTCCCAAATCTATGCCAGCAAAATGACACAAATAGTCCAACATGAATGTTTTGACATTATTTTCAACTCAAAGTTTGGCGAAACATTTGTCGAATAATTTTTGAAAGATGTATGTTTTAATTCGGAAAATTTTAAATCTACATGTGTCCAGTTTACAAAAGATTTCAAGTACCAACTCTATAAATTTCACTACTCATCAATTTCTTCCGCTGTTTTGCTTTCTTTTCCTGCAAATCTTCAGCAAATTCAAAAAAATCGGAACGAGTGCAAATAATTAGCAAATCAGAAAATTTCCCAAATTTGAAATTTTCTTCTTCCTCTTCTTGAACTTGCTGAAATAATTTGGTTTTAAATTGAAATTTGGAGTACATTTCCAACATTTCGGTGAAATAAATTGGTGCACTTCCTATGCAAATATGAACAATTGGTCTCATTTTTTTTTAATATTTAATTAAATTAAATATTTAAGTAGTATAATTTTGTTGTAAAGTATTGCTGCTTCAATTTAGCTCAACACATGTCCAAGCGCGTATTAATTCATTTTCATAAAATTCTATTACAATAAAATAATTAATACGTACTTCAAATTCTTAAAATGTAAGATCAACAACATTTCAAAAAAAAATGAAAGCACAAGTCATTAATGATTATCTACAACCTTCTGAATTTAAATCTGATTGGGAATTGCCAACATTCGATCCAAAGAGTGACCAAGTGATGGTTCGAATGAAATCATCTTCCATGAATCGTGGCGATTACACAATTAGAAGTGGAGCAGTCAAGACTTTTGTTTCCTTAAAGTTTCCATATATTTTGGGAAAGGAAGGCAGTGGTATTGTGGAGAGAGTTGGAGAGAAGGTAAAATCAATTCAGATTGGTGAGCAAGTTGCTGGAATTTTTGGTGAGGTCACTAAAAATGGAACATTTGCAGAGTTTGCAGTTTTTAAAGAGAAGGAATTGGTTAGAAAACCTGATTGTCTGGATTTTGATCAAGCTTCGATAATGCCTGCTATTGGAATGGCTATTGTGGAAATGTGTCGATCACATGATTGGATTTTACCAATTATTGAAAGAGAGGCAGATAGAATTGCCAATGGTCAAGGGCTGACACCAGAATATGATGAATCTGAAAAGAAATCCATGACCATTGTTGTGATTGGAGCTAGTTCAGGAACTGGATGTATGGCAGTCTTGTTTGCCAAGAACTTTTTAACTAGATATTTTCATATCAAAGTAATTGCAGTGTGCTCTGAGAGGAATGTATCAGTTGTGAAACAACTTGGTGCAGATGGAGTAATTGACTACACCAAGACAAGTGCAGCATTGGGAAATAATACCTATCACTCAGGAGATGAAAAATTGAGTATTTTCCAAACTCTTAAAAAGGATTTCAATATTGATTTTGTAGATATGATTATGGACTGTGTTGGAGGATACTATTACTATGACGATTTAACTAGACACTTGAAATGTCTGAGTGATGATGGACGCAGAACATATCATGTAGCAATAGCTCCACCAGGACCTCTAGAAGTTACATTCTCAAGCATTCCTTCCATTCTGTGGTATATTGTCAAGAATAAGGCAAAGAGTTGGTGGTCAGCTCAGAATCCGTATTATTTCTTCTTTTCCACCAGTCCAGATAATCCAAGAATATTGAAATTTCTCTCAAGTGAACAAGTGTGTCCAATCTTTACAAAGATTCCAATCACTAAATTTACATTAGAAGATATCCAGGTAAGTAATACTAGTAGAATACACAGTTTTGTTACAAATACTATAATAGAGAGCTGATGAGTTGATGGAATCACAACGAACAGTTGGTAAAATTGTTATAAACATGTAGTATTTCGACCCATCCTGATAAAATCAATTCAAATCTTGATGATTGAAATCTATGTATTTTGATTCACATTTGTTATCTTCCTCTTTCCTGATGATACAAAGCTTGGTGTGCACAATTTATTGCTTTTCAAATGAAATTGACAACCTTATTGGAGTAGCATGATTACAAGTTATGCTTCTTGAAAGCTTCATATCCCTCAACGAATGCTTGAATTGCATCTTGTTTTCTTTGTTGATATGTGGTTTCGTCTTCATTATGTCCCTTCATTGGAATGTAACTGAAATCGGAAAATGAATACATGTACATTTCGTGCCCTGTTTTGAAAGCATATCTTCCAAGTATTGGTTGGGCACAAACCTTTCTAAAGAATTCCTCACCCTTTGAAATTATTTCACACATTGCATACAAGCCTGAATCGTCTGAAATATTTCATATTCATAATTAGGAACAAATATAAACAATAACATACCCTCAAAATAGATCCCAAAAGCATCCTTTCCACTTACGTATAATTTGTGCTGAGCGTTTCTAAATTGACTTGCAATCTTATCAATTTGGTCAAGCAAACAATTCTCCACAATTATTTCAAAGACCTTATCTTCATCTGTATTAGATGCCTCAACAATCCACCAGAACAATCTCTCCTCATGTCTAGTTATAAACCTCCTCCTCAACAACTTGATCTTCAAGCCATAAAACTCATTCAAATACTCTAATCTCTTGGTGTAGATTGGAAACTCCTCTCTCATAGCCTTCTCATACCTTCTATCCTCCACTGATAATAGATAGCACTTCTTGGAGACTAATTGACTTCTTTGCAATGACTCTACATCAAGGAAATCGAATATGAGTGAAAGCAACTCATCCGGACACTCTACACCATTCAATTGAATCATTCCTATATGTGGCTCCTTTACCAATGATGATGACAATGTAGTAGAAGAAGAATCTGAATTTGGTTGCTCTTTTACAAGCTTTCCCTTCGACAAAGCCTCATCCAACAAGGCTACAAGTTTCATTTGTTCTTGATCGAGCTTGGGACGTTTAGCTTGCTTTGATTTTGAGCTTTCTTTTCTTTTCATTTTTTTTGACTTTTTGAGGATGTTTGTACCATGGTTGAAATTTAGGCTTTGGGTTGAATGAAAACAAAGGCTTTGAATGTCAACAATCAAGTTTTGAAAAAATTGAGAGTGCTTTGTAATACATTTTTGTATGAACATTGTTCACAAGTAGTGGAACTTAGTGCCATTCATTGTCTTTTCAAAATTGCTTACTCTCCAATCTTTAATATTTCTCATCCAACTCTTTTCCAATGAAAAAAATGCAAAATGAATCTTCTCTTCCTATAAGTGGTGATGATGAACAACTAGAATATTTGGACGAGGGGATGATAATTATGGAGGCCAATTTGGAGAAGGATGTTAAATGTTCTCTGATTAAAGATTGGTCATTGAATGAAAATATTCTCATTGGAAGAGGACAAGTTATTGGATTTCGGGAAAATCAAGAAGATTTTGAGAAGATCTTGATAGGAAAAGAGACAATTTTGTGTGGAGTATTTGATGGACATTGTGGTGATGCTTGTGCTCGATTCATCTCATCTAAATGTTTAGATGAAATTTCACAAAATATTAAATTATTAAATAATAATATTAGTACTAATACAACAATTAATAGTGATAACAGCAATCAAAATCAAATATTAAATATTAATGAACAAGTATTAGAAGAAACATTTGCAAAATTGCAATCCGACTATATTCAATTCAGAGAAGAAATTAATTCCACCACTACCACTAATTCATCAAATAACAATAATAATACTCTAACACCAGAAACAACAGCCTTACCACCCGAGAATAGCACTTCAACTAACCGTGAGGAAGACATTATTTCCCTAGAGTGTGGCACTACAGCAAATATAATCCTTCTCTCCTCACATAATCCCTCAACAATCTACAGTATCAATTGTGGTGATTCACGAGCTATTTACTTTAATGGTACCAAGACGATAATGTTAAGTAGAGATCATAAACCTAATGATTTGGATGAAAATAGCAGAATTAAAAAGCTTGGTGGACATATTGATGAAGAAAGTGGAAGAATTGATGGTTTTCTTTCTTATTCTAGGTCATTTGGCGATTTAGATTACCAACCAATTGTTTCCTATTCGCCAGAATTAAAAATCATGGAGAGACAAGAAAAGAAATCTGGAGCTGAATTTATTTTAATCGCCACAGATGGTTTATTCGAAGGGTTTAAATCTAATGAGGAGTGTACTCATTACATTACTGAATTTTTACAATCACACAATTATAATGCCGAGAATGCAACCATTGTAATTAGTGAGCTTATTGGTTCCATGTTGGATTATTGTGTGAATGAGCTCGAATCGATGGACAATGTAACACTGCAATTAGTCATGTTCATGCATAAATAAGTGACCAATCAATGTTGAGAAATAACACCATTTTTACATCTTGATGTATAGCCTAGTTAGTTTGGTTTTCATTTTCACCAGATTTGGGTCGGTAGTCATCTAGGTTTGATTTAACGTTGATATGAAAGAGATGTCATCTCTCTTGACAGTTTCCTCTTGTTTCGAATTTATCATTCACGTGATACATTTTTGAATCTAACTTTTGAAATAAAGATATTACATATTGGTATATTGAATTCAAATTAGGCCAGTTCTACTTTCGGCAGGTCGAAAAACATGGTTCAACAGATGTTGTAAAAACTACATCATATTGTCTCTGTTTTGCCTATCTCTAAGGAATTTTAAATCTCGTATTGATGGCAGATTGTTGTATTCAATTCAATGACAAACTATTACATTATGTTGTTTAAATACTGTTAATGTTCTACAACACTAACAAAGCAAATGAAGACTTCCAAACAAGTAATTGTTACATTCCTAATACAATTGTTGAGCCAATCTTAAATAACAATCTCAAAAACAGTATTTTCAACAAACGTCAGAAACGACTTCATGCTCCGTAACCGAGGAAGAGTTTTGACCTCTTTTGTGAACACATCATTAAAAAGCTAAAAATCTCGTTGAATGAGATCATCTCAAATTTGCTATCTCGCCACTTTTGGCAATTTTTAACCCATCGTTGTTGCTTGTATTTTTCACTGTGCTGACCAACAGCAATTAATTTCTCTCGTGAAAGGCTTTAAATTCACTTCGATAATTTCCAAGCAGCGCTCAACACAAAAAAATCAATCAACACATTAAAAGCAAATTGCCTTGCTGAAAAAGAGAAGAATTAGCCTCCTCTCTCTACCTTGCGCATTATTATCTAGAATTAATTCATAGCCAATCTACCAATACAAAGCATCGACCTCTACTGCTTTCAAATATTAGCATATTCTCTTTTAGCATATTCACAATATACGGTTAACCAAATGCCAACTGCACAACATCCTATTATTCAACACTCTGACTATGATGATCATCATTTGTCTTCAGATGAAATAACAACATTTAATTGTCAATCAGATAAGAAGATTTCAAGCAGATATACACAATTGCGAAAGCAGTTGAGATCCTGTGAACATTTCAAAGAAAATTACTTTGTTCTCGAAGTGAACAAGCCTAACAAAGCATCTCAGGATAACAATACCTTAGAAAAGAAGAAGAGAAAGAAGAGACAAACAGCTGCCGAGGACCATCCACATCCAGACGAAAGTCTTTCGAATGATGACGGCTCAGAAGAAATGAAAAAAAAGAAGAGAAAGTCATCCAAAACAACAAGTACTCAACCAGCAGCTGCTCAAACAATAGAAGACAAAGTTGCCATTCATACCTCTCCAACCAATAATATCAATGCCACTACCATTTCATCTAACAACTCCTCAACCACCATGCAAATTACCACTTCCACTACTTGTGTAAATAATGAACAACAAACACCAACCTCTAATACAGAAACAGGCAACCAACAAGTGTCACCTCAATTGAATGATGGATTGGTTCTCCAATTAATGGGTTTGCTTCAAAATAATAATGCTTCCAATCCAACTTGCAATAGTAATCAAATGACACTAGAAGGTTTAGAATTGCAAATCAAATTGTTGCAGAGATTGCAAGAGACAATTAACTTACTTAAAGGATCGAGTCAACTACAAATGATAGTGCCATCTCAGGAAAGTATGCCAACAATGAATTCAAATAGCTCAATGCCATCGATATCATCATCCGAAGATATATTTCAAATACTAGACTATGGAGACTGCCCAGATAACAATAATCAAAGTTTTCCAGTTGAAATGACTGGTTTTGCCAGTTGTGAAGATTTTGCTGAATTGTTGAACGGTTTCATCTAATCTGCTTATGTACTAATAAAAACACTGTAAATTGCTACTAATTAAGAAAGATCCTAAATAGTTGAATTCTAAATTTCACTTGAAACGTTTGCCACTTTTCCAAATATATTCCATCGCCCATTTAGTAAATATTGAGGTAAGTTGTGAAATTAGACAAAATGAGTTTATTGGAGATGTTTGTTAAGTTTGCTAAATGGAGTAACATCAAGGACCAGATTTGGTAGATCAGACTTTTCACATATTGCCACGTTTAACTCTGGACTAAAGACCTGAATAAGTTCCTTGGTTGAAACCTCAAGAATGTGATGAAAATCTGAATCGAGTTCGAGAGGAACATGGTCCTTCTCATCAAGAGTAAATAAATGTATCTTCTTGGTCATACCCTCGAACTTTGGATGGAGCAGTTCAGTTGCTACCTTCAGCAGAGGAATGATTGCAGATTTTTCCACTTGTTCTTCAGAACTCTTTGTTACAAATTGTTTAAAGTTTCTCTTAATGTCAGTAGTGTTGCCAATGTATACAATTTTTGTCTTTTCAGAATTTGAGACCGTGATGGCATAGAGTGTGACACATCTATTGATATCCAGAACATGTCTATATAATTCAGAGAAGAGTAAATAGTATTGTTTTAAAACTGCATTGTAAGGTGTTGTGTCAACGTGAAGACTATGATTTGGAGAGAGATTTTGATGTTCTATAAAGCTTTCCACAGAGAGTGCACCTTCTCTTTGCCATTGTTCCAATCTTTCCTTGGTTTGAGTATTTACATAATTTTTCAAAAGAGAAATCATTTCTTCCTTTTCACTAATTTGCCCAATATCTGTTTTAAAGGAATTGTACTTTAAATGAGCGTGAGGATGGTGACTAATCACATTTTCAATCTCCTCTCTTTCTTCATTACCTTGCTCCAAAAGACTCAGTAATTGAGATTTGTAATTTTCTGCTGAGAGTAATACTCTGTGCAAATCATCGAGAACATCAATCAATCTGGTCTTATCACCAATTGAAGGTAATTTAGTTTCATATTTTTCACGTAATTCTTCCAACTTTTGCAAGAGTTTTTCAAAATGTTTAACTCTATCCAAAGTAGTTGCACTTGTTGATTTGTCTTCATCATCACCAATACAAACCGAGTGTTCAATTGCCCACTGATCTTCTTCAATATTATCCTTAAATTGAACTAATTTTTCCTTTACAATTTGATAAAGTTTTAATTGTTCCTCAACCAAGGCTTGTTCATAATAATAAACACAATCATAGACAAGCTTTGAAAATTCCTCTCCGTACACATTATTCATACAATCGGATAAGATATTGATAGAGTTTTGAAGTGATGAGAATCGATGCAAGACTTCCGGTTGAATCATTTCATACAAATGAATGGAAGTCAAATGACGTGGAATTACTACTTGTTGTTGAGACATTTTTTTTGCTTAGAGTTTTGAGAACACTTTTAGATGGTTTCTTATTTGGAAATATTAGGCTTGTTGTTTTGGTCAATTATGAAAATTTGTTCTATTTGATGTAATTTGATGAGATTTTATTAATAATGGAATGTTTATTATAATTTAATATTAACAATAAATTAGCAAGTAAATTTAATATTCATTGTATTAAATTAATAAATTGATCCTGATCAAAAATGTATACAATTCCGATCATATTCCCTCTGTCAAAACCCTTATCATTTTGATATTAATAATTTCGCCTTTTCATTCCTCATGATCAACTTGATCTTTCAAAATATGAGGCAATTCTACCTTACCTTACAATATCAATCCATTTTTTCCTCATTATTATCAACCAAACCCTTCAACTACCAAATTCAGTCCTATTGCAAATATTTCCAAAAAGGACTTTGTAAAGCAAAGCGAAAAGCCACAACAACCTTCCTCACTACTGTAAATTTTCATTCCGTTGCTGTTGTTCTTAAGCGCTTATTGCTGATAATATCTAGGGCTTGATCAGATTGATGCTTGCATACAAAGAGAGCTCTCTGATGACGAGTTTCAAGTGTGATAAAAGTAATGATAATTCACCATCAAATCGAAAAGAAAAACAAAATCTGAAAAAATGAACAAAATCGTTTCTTCATCGACACTCACTGCCACTAACCAAATTGTTCAATCTGGTGTTGTTGCTTCTAGATTGTTCAAATCTACTAGATTTTTACGTCAAGCAGCTGCTTCTTCTACAACTAGTTCTGATTTGCCAGTTTTTACTAAAGGTGTCTTGTTAGTTGGTAGACCAGGTGCCGGAAAGGGTACTTATGCATCAAGAGCTGCTGAAAAGCTTGGTATTCCTCATATTGCTGCTGGTGATATTATCAGAGAAGAAATCAAGGCTGGTAGTGAATTTGGTAAGAAGGTCAAGGAATATACATCAAAGGGTGAATTGGTTCCTGATGAATTAGTTATGGAATTGTTGGTTGATAGAATTTCAAAGATTCGTCAAGCCAATGCCGGAAGAGGTTTCTTCTTGGATGGTTTCCCTCGTACTCTCAATCAAGCTGTTGCTCTTGATGCCATCAGTGACAAGATCAAACTTGATCTCGTTATTAACTTGCATCAAGATGAAGATATTATCATTGCCAAGACTGTTAATAGAAGAATTTGTTCTAAGTGTGGTACTGGATACAATTATGCTCACATCAAGAGAGATGGTCTCGATATGCCACCACTCGTTCCAAAGGTTGAAGGTGTCTGTGATACATGTGGTGCTAAGGACTCTTTGATTCAAAGAGATGACGATAAGGAAGAAGTTATTGTCAAGAGATTGGCTGAATATGAAAAATTAACTTCACCATTGTTGTCTTTCTATGAAAAGAAGGGTTTGTTGAAGAATTTCATTGTTAATGGTGGTGCTAAGGCCTTGTTACCATCTTTCCTCAAGCTTTTGCAAGATTAATTTTGTACACTCGGAATTTGTAAAATATAATTTTTGTATTAATTTGTGTTTGGATTGCATATATTATTAATAATGGGTTGTTGTATGCATTTGTGGAATTGCTTGCAGTTCTGAAATCGATTTGAGGAATTTTTCACATAATGTGAAATAATATGATTGTGAAATCTAATAAATGGTATTTCGCAATGATATTATTTCACAAAAGGAAAGTTTATTACCACCACTTGATTTGAACAGTAGATGATGAATTTATTGAATTTCACTGTACTTTTTGTTTCTTCTCAAACAACAAATCATTGCAACAATAGTAATAATTCCAACCACTATCAACAATGCTCCAAAAGCAGATGCAGTCACTGCAACTATAATTGTACTCTCATCAACAGGAATCTTTCCAGAACTTTGGTGTGGTGTTGATGAACTGATTGTCTTAATGGTCTTGACCATAATGGTGACAGATTTTACATCATTTCCAATAGTATCATCACATGTGAGTGTTCCTTCCTTGAGATTGACTTTGGATCGACCATTATCTACATAACTATTAGTTCTCTCCTTTTGGTAACCACAAGCAAGAGTTTCAATTTGCAAAGTTTCATTAAATTGTTTCGAATAATAATCTAATAACTTGTCTGCATCAAAGTAGAATACATAATTTCTCAAACCATATCCATTATAATCTAATTTTTGATTCTCTGATCCAATTACATTGAACTTGTAAAGTGAAATATAGGAAGGATTAGGATAATTAATTTGATCAGTGACAGCAACCATCTTGTATCTTAATGGATTTCCTATTGGAATGGATCCATAAAAATTGTAATAATACACATCAAGTGTTTGATTCAAAGAAGTGTCCATTTCATAGTTGACCACTTGAGGATATGAAATGTTGACATAGGTGTTCATTTCTGATTTTTGAGTAATAAACTTGCCGAAAGTTCCCATGTAGAGAATGTTATTTTGGAGGGTATTTTGATAATCTCTAAATGTTGCGTTTACTGTCTTGACGAATATTCTTTCTCTAATTTCGTTCGGCATTGGTACGAAACTATTCGAATTATCTAACAATAATAAATTCAAATAATCAGGAACTGCATTAAAGACACCCATAAAGTAGGACAGGTACAAGAAGAACGTATCATCCTCTCCATACCATGCATTAGTCAAATTCAATGAATAAACCCCAAATAAAGTCAACTCATCTGCAGACGAAACATTTACAATCGGATACTTTTTGAAACTATTCATTTCTTCATCACTGTATTGATGCATAACCAAGGAGCCACCAATTCCATCTCCAATAAACTTCATCCCAATTGCAGCAAGTGATTCTGTTGAGAATAATAAATTGGACGAATTGAGTGGAAAACTTTCATCAAATTGTTGAGCGTTAACAGTGAAGAGCAATAAACAGAGTACTAGAAAAAGTAATATTTGGCAACTGTGTGTTGATTTCATTTTTTAATTTCACAATTTCACTTTGTCTGTCGAAGTTTGTTTTTATTTCGAATGTTCTAATATCAAAACACCACCTTGAACTCCTTACGAGGTGTCTGCTTTTCACTTCTTCTACCCGTACTGGAAAGTTGGTTGTATCCATTGAAAACTGAAAGGTCAAGTCTTGGAACTTATGTTGAGTTCTGTAAATAATGTTTAGAATGAAATTAACCCACAGTTTATTCTACCAAGTTTGGTAGATGAATAATCTTTCTGATCAATTTAGGAGCATGTTTGATGCTCAAACGTGATGATTCGGTGCAGTTATTAATTCTAGTAAATGTCAAGCTTCGTAAGTTAGGGGCTACAATATTGAAATCCACTGCAACTGTATGAACTGAATCAATATAAATATGTTGAATGGCATGATGTGTTTCATCTCCTAATTCCAATCTCAAAGTGTCTCTTATCTTGGAGAGTTCTAGTTTTTTAAGTGATGGCAAAGAATGCAAATTCAAGGCTAAATTAGTGAAAATTGAATCAGTAAGTTGCAGATTTTTCAAGTTTTGTAAATTGAAACCATCATGCAATGCTGGAATGGCAAAAGACATTTTAATGTCCTCTATGGAGCGACTTGTCTTGCTATCCAGTATTATCCTCTTTTCAGTGGATGGCTGTGGTGTATACTTGTTTGCACTGGTGCAATGCACTTGTTTTAGGGAAGTGCAATTATTGATAGCAGTCAGACCTCCCAATTCATCTGTTTCTACCCTCATTTCCCTGAGATACTGATTTGAGATACTTCTGTTATTGTTTATATCTCGAGCAACATAGGTTTTAACATTGAAAAAGTTGAAGACACTCAAGTCCTCAACATTGGTTGTGTACCCTTTGAGTCCAGTTTTCAACCATTCAAAGTTAACAGAGAGGGCATCCACTCTATGGAATCGATGAATGCTCTCTGATAAACCATCGACAACACTTGGTGGAATCTGATCTTGGAAGAATAGCTTGATTTGTTGGAGTGAAAGTTCTGAGGCATTTCTTGGTATGTATGGAGAAATATCGTGCTCTGGAACATGGGCCAAGTTCAAATTAAAGTAAACATGCATTTGGTCTAATTTACCAATTGTTGCATTGAAACTAACGGTAGAGACGGCAACTTTGGATTCCATCTTGACAACAAGAAGGTCAACCTTTTCCAAGTCAATGTGGTAGGTTCTCAACTCGTGGGGTATTTTACCTTCATTAGGATAGCTAAATGTTAGTTTCTTTACATAATTTCCCTTCAAGACTAGAGAGTTTGGAATTCCAATAATGGTTGTATGTTGTGGAGCTCTATCAATTTGAATATCAGTCTTACTGCATGCAATTTTCAGCTTCTTCATTGATGGATGATTCTTGATGATAAGCTTGCTTGAAGATTTTTCATTATCATCCCAATCATATGAGTAGGAAAAGTTTAACAGACTCGAATGCTTTTCCATCCAGAAATCAATTAGATCGCTCTCATTATTATCTCTCTTCTCTGGGAAGTATTCAAATGTTTCGAGAATTGGAAATGGCTTTTGGTTAGAAGTAATGGAGAGTTGCAACTTGTAAACATGGAAATAAGTAAGGAACGGTAGGAAGGAACCATCAAGAATGGCATGAACTGGCACATCAACAAAGTTATTCAAACCCAAATGTCTGAGACTTCTTGGGAGAGGAACTTGAGATGGAGAAAAGGTAAGTGTATTGGCTTCATTATCTTCCTCACCAGAGTAAATGTACAATGTTAGTTTTTTCAGGCAAGTTAGTGAGGAACAAAGAGTTTTCCATGTATCACTCATTAAAGTTTGAATACTGATTTCTAGATTTAGTCTAGTCAATCTATTGGAAAGGGTTTGAATATTGTTGTAAATGATTGGTGAAGAAATATCTAAACCTCCTTCCAGTTCAATTCCTCTCAGTTGTTGGCTCGTAGAAAGTATCTGAGATATTTTACCTAGATCCTCCTTCTTTGATTGAACGAGTGAGGAGAGTGCTGACAAGTGTTCAATCTCTGAAGAGTGAGTTTGAATGAAATTCTCAAATGCAAAGACAGTACTGCTAATTTTCAAATCTCGTAACGTTTCGAAACGATTAAATATTTGGTCTGTAGTTGGTTTTCCATAGTAATTCATATCTTCTATATAGTTGGTCAAGTCTTTTGGTGAAGCATTCTCAACACTTTCTCTAGCTGTCAGAAAAGTAACATTATTAACTTTTGGGAAATGATTAGCCCATGTTAACATTCTACCTTGAAGATTTGTATTGTTGGAAAGAAGAGGAATTGGAATTACTAGGTTTTGAATCATGCTGACATCACAAAGAGTTTCAATAAATGAAACGAATTGATTAGTCAACTCTGATTCACTCGAGAAGTAAAAAGATGAATTTCCATCATATCTTTTCACCACTAAATCTATATTTCTAAACTTTTCATCACACAACACTGCAAAGCAAGTAGTACTATAATTATCTGGCATGAATGACTTGACAAAATGATGAAGATCAGCAATTTTATCATACCAAATAAACCAATTGAAGTAAATCTTTTCTCTGAGTGTCTTATTTACATGAAGCAGAGGAATAATAACAGAAGCCATCGAGCTACTAAATTTATCCTCCACAAGGTATTTACATATAAGTGCCAAGACTTCGTGTGGCAAATCCGAAAGATTTTCAAAGTATGACGTTTGTACAGAAGAGTAATCCTGATGAGGACAAGAATAATCGATCAACAAGTGAGCATTCTCTCCTAAAAGGTGAGATGTCAGTGTTGTTGTTTCTTCTTGTTGAATTACTTCCAAGGAGCCTAAAGACATGATGATGTTATTATTGTACAGTAATGTATTAGATATTCTCCAAAATAGTTTCGGAGTGTTATCAGACGACACTTTAATCTAATTGACAATGCGCACAACCACCACAAGCAATCAATGATTGTTAAACAAGTCTCCTCGAGTGTTGTTCAACTATATTGTTCTAGAACGTGTGTTGTTCTTTTTTTACTTTTTATTTCAAGCTGGAGAAATTTCATGGGAAGACGCAAAGAGATGCGGAAGGTTTTTTTGGTTTGGAAAAATCTACGAAAACTTCCAAGGTTTTGTTGTCGGGTTGGAAATATTTTTCCAGATTTTTCAAGGGAGTGGATTGGATTGAGGAGAAACATTGTTTAGAGTTTCGCCTATTCCAAGGGAAAGATATATTGATTGTAGATTTGCATGTCCCTTAGTGTAGATGATCTTGAAATGAAAAAAGAAACATTTTGGGATTGTGTTGTTTGAGGATTTGTTGTAAACTCATATAGTATTGAGAATCGTATAAAAATAATATCATTTCAATCAATTTACTAATTTACTGTAGATCAATAGTTTAAAAATGTGATGGAAGGATCAGGTCAATTTTTTTCACAGCGATCCAAATCTCATTCTTCCAGTCTTCTGCCACTTCTAAGAGCGAATGTTTTGTTGCTGAATAGATTGCTGAATAATTCCAAACTATTGACATGTTAAAAGGTGTTATTCTTGAAGGAGGAACGAGATCTCATTATTCTTTTATTTAGTAGTATTCTTGCTTGTTTGCTTTCCAAATTGAACTTGCAATAAAAATCAAATATGAAGAAAATAAATAAATATTTAAAAAAAAATGGTGCAACATCAATGAAGGATGTGTATTCACCCTCTTGATGATAATTTCCAGCAACAGAACATAAATCCCAACAATTAGTAGATCAAGAATATCTGAATAAGAATATCGGAAAGTGTTTTTGAAAATAATAAGAGCTTTGGAAAATATTTTGTGAAATCTCTGCGTATTGGTGATTCACCATAGATCTATTGATCTGATACCGTTCATATGAAAGATTTGGAACCAGAAATATCACACAAAATTGGAAAATAGTTTTGGAAAGTAATTTTGAACACTTTCAAGTTGTTTCCAAAGTTGAAATGAGCCTCGAATTTTCCAATTACCACTAATCTTTAAACACCAACAATGGAAAGTTTATATTTTTAGAATTTAAAATATTTCCCTAATTGGTGTTTGTTAGTTATTGTAACAATACAAATTTAAAATCAATAGGTAACTATTAGAAAGAGAGGAAAAAAACGAAAAGAAAATGCCAACCCCATCCGTCGGTACAACTAGACACACCACACCTCAAAGACACCATGTCTCGAGATTATTGAATAATAATAAGAAACTGTTGGATCAAAGTCAAGGTGTTGGAGTTAAATCCAAAATTCCAACTGCAGAACTTGAAAATAGATTTTCAAAACTGACTCATTTACTTTATGATACGAACGTTAAATTCAAAGATTTGAATGAGCATGTTTATCCTTTGATTCATGAGGATATTACATTTACAGATCCTTGGCAAACCATCACTGGAAAATCTCAATTTGTGGCCCAATTGAAAGGTTTTCATAGTGCCATATTCTTTACTTATGATACTTTACAATTATCAGTTCAAGTAAATGAGAATGAAGAAAGTGGAAGGGTTATTGTTGATGGTTGGATGTATTTGAATCAAGTCAAGTACATTACAGGAACAATTCCATTGAGAACTGTACTGGTTTATGATTTTGTTTTCAATGGAGATGGTGACACTTTTCTCATCACTGATTTGGAAGAAATGTGGAGTTTGGGCGATTTAATTGAAAAAATTCCAATCATTGGATGGTTTTACAATTTATTTAGATTTGGTGCTGGATTTTTCTTTACCATCTTCTTCCTTATTTGCACTTTTATTGCACTACGTTTACCCTTTTCAAATGTGAGTGGTCAACCAAGTGGTAAGAATACTTCTAGTGGTGGCAAGAAGAGTTCCATTTGTAGCTCGTTGAATCCTCTCAATTTTGCAAAATAAATAGTTGTGATAATAGTATTGAATCTTATGATTAGTTTCCAAATTTATTAAAAACACCTTTCGTAGCGAAAATCACCACTCAGCACATGTGGTGATTCCACCAAAAAACAAACTTAAAGTCTTTTTATAGAACTCAAACTAAATTACTAAAAATGATTTCAAAACATTTGGCATCCGTTAAAATATGCCCTATTAACAATCACCAAAAAAAAAGAGATGAGTGCTACAACTACTCCCACAACTACTGCAGTGGCTAATAACAGTTCAAATTCTGCTACTTCACCAACAGTAGCTGTCAAGAGCACTAATGGTTCGAATACATCATCAAATAATGCCAATAATTCAGCTTCGGATTATTATGTATCATCAAAGAAGGGACTGGCAAATAATAGGGTGGAATCATCTAGTAGTGGAGAAAGATGGAATTCAATAGAGTTGAGTGATGTTGCTGCTAGTGGCAATACTTCAACTATTCCAGCATCGTTATCGATGGAAAATGAGCAACACAGTGATGATCATCATAGTGACAGTACAATAGAACCTCATCCACTTGATGCACATACTCATACTATTGGAAACTATGCACAATTGGATCAGGAAAGTTCAAAACCGAAACTTGCAAGAAATCCATACATTTCACTTCTATTTCATAATAAGAGATTTTTAATTATTTGGATGGCAGGTGTCTTGTCAGGAATGGGAAATTATTTTTCAGAAATTGGTATTGTTTATGAAGTGGAAGAACGTACAACTGTTGGATTTGTTACGAGTGGTGTTTTTATTTCAATCTTTTTACCTTCATGTGTTGCTACTCCATTTGCTGGTGTAGTTTCTGATATTTTCGATAGACGAAAGGTCTTGATTGTGTGTAATTTTTTGAGAGCTATTTTGGCTTTCGTTTTGGTGGCTGGTCCATTCATTACCAATACGAATGCACTCTTTGGTTTTTACTATACTATACTTGCTATGATTTTCTTTATTAATGCATTTTACGATGCTTCGAGAGGATGCATGATGCCACTCTGTGTCGATCACAATGATTTGGTTGCATGTAATGCATTGGATAGTTTGACATGGTTGTTTTGCTCGTATACAGGTGGTGCCATTGGTGGAGCTGTGAGAGTTGCATTTGGATTGATTACTTGTTATGTATTGAATGGCATCTTGTTTATTGGTGCCTTAATGTTGTCCATCTGGTTGTTGTGGTTCCCTGATTTGAATCCACCGAAACCAGCCGACTTCCCAACTAAACCAATACCAATGATGAAACACTCTCTGAAGGAATTAATTGCTGGATTCAAATTATTATTCAGTGGAAAGGGTTACTTGTTGAGTTTTGTTGTTATGAAATTATTGGGATCATCAGTTTGGGCCAGTATTGAATTTATCAATGTCAAATTATCGGAACTTCCAATGTTGAGCTTATTCAACAATGGTGAGCAAGGTATTCAAATGACCAACACTATTGCCTACTGCTTGTTTGGTATTGGTTCAGGTTTAGCACCAATGCTTTTCGAATTATTCTTTGGAAATAGAATTAGAAGATCATTGAGGAGTGCATTCTGGACTCGTGTTGTAATTTTGGCTTCATTCTTTGCAATTTCTATGGGTTTCTTATTAATGTGCTTTACCTATCATGCCTCAATGTTCATTATTGCCAATTGTATTCTTGGCTCAGCAGGAGGTGTCATGTGGGTTTACTCAATGTCAGCAATCGAACATTTAACGCCTAATCATTATTTGGGAAGAATTACTGCCTTTGATATTTGTTTTGGATTTGGATTGGGACAAGCCATTGGTGTCATGATTCCTTCTCCATTACTCTATGATATTATAGGTATTAAGGTTCCTCACATCTTTGCCATTGTCATGTTTGTTCTCTCTTGGATGTTGTTCTGTTTAACAATTGTCTGGTTCTATTTTACAAGAAAGATTCACCAACATTTTGTTGTGCATGATGATGATCACCACTAGAGAGTTAGTTAACATTTTGTAAATAAATTCTTGAATCGACATTTTACGGAAATCATAATTGAGTACAGAGAAATTTTCCTTTCACCCTACCCAGCCCTGAATCAATGTAAATCTTTCCAATTGTTTAAAACAGTAAACAAATAGCATTGTTGTAATGGTGTCGCCATCTTCCCCGAATATAATACTTTACAATTCAGTTTTGGAGAGCATTGCACAAAAACCATCCAACTTTTCACCTGTATTCCATCCACATCAATACCTCGAATCAAAACGTCTTTTTAGATTCTTTCCTTTCAGTGCATTCCATCATGTCAACCATCCAACATTCTTAAAGAAAAACACAAAAAAACAACAACACTATCACAATCCCATTGTGTTATAATAACATCATCAGCTTCGTGTTCTGCTCAGAGTCGTGGTTATTATTTTGCTCTGCATTTCATAGTTCCACTCTAATTAGTTGTGCAGGTGTACTATTCCCTTTTTCTACTCCGCTTCCTGTTGTAATTTTGTTGTTTCCAAGAGGAGCGAGAGGTTCTTTACCATTTATTCAACTCCAACATCACATCTATTTGGAACCACATACAGATTTAAAAAATAGAACACTGTATTGTGTTGGATTTGGTATCTTCATCATCATTTCTTAATAGTTCATCAACACAAAACAAATTTCTTTATCTGTACTTCTATTAAAATTCATTAAGAAATGAGTCAGACATTAGCATCAACCATCTATCACAACAATACCATCGGTCTGCTTAACTATACCGATTCACAGACATTGCTGACGGAATTTGTTCGATTCAGTGCTTTTAAATTATATGGTAATGTCTTTCATTATACCTACGTAGATGATCACTTCTATTCGGTAGGCTTCATTCTCGGCATGATATCATTGGGAATTTTTATCGTCTTTGTGTTACCTTGCCAATTGGCTGTAAATATTCTGTATGGAATTCGGGCGCGAAAAATATTGAAAAAAAACAGAAACAACTCATCGATAGAGACTCCACCCTCATCGGCTTCCTCTGGTGATGCTAGTGTAAATAAGGAAGAAAAGAAGAATAATACTGATAAATATACCTTTAGAGAAACACTGAAGAAAGCATGGTATGAATATGTTTTACTTGAGGGTGTGGCGAGGGCTACTCCTTCCTTTGTGATGGTCGTTTTTATTTGCTTAGTGATTTGGTTAACGAGTGCCTTTTCAAAGATACATTTTGCTGGAGCTGCAGTCTTGATGGCAATTACAATGACAATGTGGTTGATTCAGTGGGTATTGTTTGATTTAGGAACATTTACGTATGAAGTACTGAGGAGTTTTTCAACAAGATTTGGAAAGAGCAAAACATCGGAAGTAACTAAGGATCAAGAATTGAAAAATGTAGATGTGACAACATCAACCACATCAACCATGAATATTAATCAGAGCACAACAGCAATTGTTCCACCTTCGAATGATAGTTCATCTCATCATCATCACTCTGAACATCGTTTCGGTGGATTAGTTAAGGATATTTCATTTGGATATGTTAAATCTTTGGCCAATCCTCTATTTAGAAGACATCCCTTATTAGGTGTACTTATAGTATTCATCTTCTTCTTTGTTACTTTTCTGATATTTTTGGTTGTCAATGGTGTAACAGCAGACTTTTGTGTTGCCTACGATCCGATTGAAATCAGTACACTGGCCACTAGAGCTGGTGATTCTACTAGGTGTAAATCGGGCACTATCTGTTTTACTTACATGACGATTTCAGCAGATATTTCATCGGAAATGATTGTCAATTTTCAAATAGATGCAAAACAGCTCAACAGCTCTTTTGTTTATTATGGAACATTTGACCCTAATGCCGAGTTTCAATTCGATTCTAAGACAGCCTTAAAGGCTAATGCAAATTGCTTCAAAATGACTGTCATTGAAATTGATAGATGGCAATGTTATGTTAATTTGAGAGGATTGCAGTCTTCATCATCCTACTATGTCAAGAGTGCATTTACAGGAAAAGATTATACTGCCACTAGTGTCACTTTTGAGGATAGCAATGTATACAAGTTTAGAACAGCACCAAGTGCCTCTTCTCCTGATAGAATTGTTTCCTTCTTGAATGGAGGTGATTTAGCTTGGGGAACCAATTTCTTGTCCTTAGTTAAACTGATTCCTCCAACAGGAAAGAACATTTCAACAGCTCCCTATTTCTTTATGGTGGGTGGCGATGTTGCATACGATAATGGATGTGCCTACTGTTATATGAGATGGGAGAGTTGGTTCTCAAATTGGGCCAAATATATGGTCGTTCCTCTTCAACACACCTCCTCAGTGTCACACACCTATACTCTGCCTCTAGCCTCTTGCGTTGGTAATCATGAGGCTGGAAATTTCAAAAGACCAAGATCTGACGATGCCTTCTATATCAGATATTTCCCTCATGAATTGGAGGGAGATTCTTCTAATTTGATTGTTTCTGACCCTCAATATACCAGAAAGTTACAACACGTCCACTATCTCTCTTCCCACACATTGCTAATGGTGTTGGACTCTTGGGTTCACGAATCTCCAGAGCAACAAGTCTCATACATTGTCAATTACTTCAATGCTTTAGATCCATCAAAGTACAAGAACAGAATGGTTACGATTCACGAGGGAATTTATGCCTCCTCTTCTGAATTGAGCCCAATGACTGCAGCAATGAGAGAACAATGGGAGGCCCTCTTCTTGAAGTATAACATTACACTAGTCTTGGAGAATCACGTTCACACCTACAAGCAAACCTATCCTCTCAGATTTGGTAAGGTGATGGATACTAAGGCTGATCCTTTAAATTCAAGAGCTGGAGCCGATAATGATTATTATTATGAAAGAAATATTTATAATGGATTAGGAAAGGAAGAAGAAAAGGGAATTATCTATGTTGGAGATGGAAGCTTGGGTGCACATTTTTATGGTGACAAGCTCTTGTTTGGAGATCCAATGTTCAGACAATTAGGAATAATAACTCATTTCCACCATATCATTACTCATGATACAAATAGCGTTCCAACTATTGAGTTGACAGCTTATGGATATGATTCATCAACCGGAGACTCTTACAGAGTTAGTGGTTCTGGTTTGACAATTAAAACTTTCTAATATTTTTACTTAACACCCAATGAATTTGAGGAATTGCTCTATTAAATTGATTTTTCAGAATGATCTCCGTAGTTAACTTATCTTTTTGTTCGCTTGAATTATTAATGATTTTATTTGAAAATTACCACTATTCAATATTTTCATGCTATTTAATTATATTTTAAATTCTAATGATTAATCTTGTCACCTTTAACGTTATCTTTGAGATCACTTCTTGGTTTGAGTGAAATCTTCAAATTTCCAGGTCTGACAGTAATTCCAGGAATGTCTGTAACTTTATCCAATGGATCTTGTTCATTATTCAATAGTTCCAATTCGTAGAATTGTAAAATTCTACACAAGATTGAAAATGCTTCAATTTCTGCAAATTTATAACCCTATTAAATTTCAATAAAAATATTCTAAACTAAACTTACAATCTATTTCAATAAATTAGGACAAATAGTTTTAAAATTCGAATACTTACACACTTTCTATTTCCCATAGAGAATGGAACCCATGTAAAATCATGTTGAATCTTTGATTGTTCCTCAGCATTCATTGGAAACCTTTCTGGAATAAACTCATTAGGTTTCTCCCAATATTTTTCATTTCTATTCGTACTGAAAATATTAATCATCACTGTACTTCCCTTTGGAATAGTAAACTCTCCAATAGTAGTCGTTTTCTTTGCAATTCTAAAAACATTGACAACTGGTGGATGCAATCTCAAAGCTTCCATCACAATTGCATTCAAATAATGCATTTGATTGTAATCTTCATAGGTAGGAGCTCTATTTCCAATCAATCTATCAATTTCTTCTCTTGCTTTCTTTTGAATTTCAGGTCTTTTTGCTAGCTCATAACAAACATAGGCAGAACTTGAAGCTGTCGTCTATAGTTTCGTATATAATATGAATTGATGAATAATAGAAAGTCCAATAAATACGAACCTCATGTCTATTATAATAAATTAGGACAAATAGTTTTAAAATTCGAATACAAACCCTGCAAGCGCGAAGATAAATGAATCTGCTTTGAGTTCAGAACGTGAAAGTAAGCCATTTTGAAGAACGTTGGCCTCTACTAACATACTCAATAAATCTCTTCTCTTATTAGATTCAGTTTCGTCTGTAGTTTGGAGATTAGTTTCGTATTCTTTGATACGTTCTTCAATGATTCGATCTAAAGTAGAAGAAACAATTTCCTCTGCTTCATTGACTTTAAAGTATTTTCTAGCCATTTTGGCAAAAATTGAACTTCCCAGGAATCGTCTAATAATCAAACCTTTGGATAAAGTAGTTTCCATTGATTTTCTAAATACTTTTCCTTCAGGATTTGGATTATCACTTTCGAATATAGAAAAGTCCAATCCAAATAAATGCTGCCTTTCCCAAAACATCTGTTCATTCCATTAATTTAATCACACAATTCCATTATAAATTTAAATTCGAAACTATAAACTCACCCAAAGTAATATCACTAAAATCAGCAGTCGAATCAATCAACACACCAGCACCAACACTTCCACTCTTAATTTCCTTATCCCATTTCGTTCTTCTCATCAAATCAACACTCTCACTCGCAACCAAAGCAACAAATTCCAAATTTTTAGGTGAAAATGCAGAATTTGCAACTCTGTGATGATTTTTCCAAGTTTCAGAGTTTGCATCCAAAGCAGACAAAATATTAACTCCAAAAAGGTTGAATGGATCGTACATATCAGGTTCCTTGACAAAGTTGTGTCCTTTGGCTACGAGCAGTTCTTTGAGAAGATCACGATCACAAATGGAGATGAGATTAGTTTTGAGCATTGAGACACGAACTGTTTTGGTTTTGGAATCTCCCTTCTCTTGGGTGAGTTGATACATGGAATGATGAGAGCCAAGGAAGAAGTGAGAGGCAATGATTGGAACTCTCTTGACAAAATTCATTAATTGCCATGATCCTGGAATGTTTTTGACTTTCGAATAGTTTTGATAGAGACGAAAGGATAAACTGATCAGTGCAGTTAGCAAGATGGCTAATAGCGTGTACGCAACAAGTGCAAACATTTTTTTTAGTATGAGAAAGCAAGTGGATGATCAATTCGTTCTGACATGATTGCTGCACTTTCATGAGAAGTTGGATCAATTCTCCGAAAGAAACCGAAAGGGTAAATTATTCACAATTTTGTACCATTTCATACCCTTTTGTAAACCTTCTACAAATTGCAATTAACACTTCATAAAAAACTATAATCTCTAAATAAACAATTCCCCTTAATTTTGACATCAACTGACAGTAATTGTTCCAAATCACTCAAATATTCGAGTCCTTGAATACTAATCTCATTCTCACTTATATCGAGTTTAGTCAATTGTATCAATTTGTTAATGTGTTTACATCCCTCATCCCCAATATAATTACTGGCAATATTAAGGTTAGTTAATTGAGTCAATTTACCAATGTATTTGGTTCCCAAAGCAGTAATATTATTCTCAGAAATGTCAAGATATGTTAAATGCTTCAATTGACTGACTTGTTTAGCTCCCTCATCACCAATTTCATTCTGACTAATATCAAGTTTAGTCAATTGATTCATCTCACCAATGTATATAGCACCTTCAACACCAATATTGTTGCAACCTATTTTAAGATTTTTCAATTTTTTCATAATTCCACTAATGATCTTTGCTCCTTCCACTCCAACATTATTATTTCTAATATTGAGATGAGTCAATCGATTCATCTCTTGCAACTTTTTACAATCAAATACCACATCAGAAGGAACATCAACATTGTATTCCAGCTTGAGACGTGTAATATTAGGTAAGAATTGGCTTCCAACTTGGAATTTTGAATTACTTTTACATGAAAGGGAAAGAGTTGATCGTTCGGAGGTGATGATTTTCAACCACTGCTTTGAAACCAATGAACAACTCAGCACGAGAAAGGTAAAATCTCGAGGGAGAAAGGATAAGATTTCACCCAGTACATCATCAGAGAATATAGAATCAGGATCTTGTGAGAGTTTCTTCCGTTTTGTTTGGTCGTCTTTAATGTTTGAAATATGGTAAGATTGGTGATCATCAAATTCTCTTACTCTCTTTATCATTTTTTTTAAATAAACTTGAAATTGAGAGAGTATTACAATTCACTCACTACTTCTTGCCAACTTTCTAAATTCTTCTCATATTCATTATCATGAAGGCTTTGAAATTAAATTCAACAAATCTTCATCATCAAAGGCTTCATCAAAAAATTTGACAAATAAAATATTAGGAAGAACAATATGAGCGATTTCAAAAGTATCAAGAATAAACTCTCATCCCTGAGAGCCAAGATTAAATCGGAAAGCACTGCTACAACTACCACTAGTACTTCATCAGCCACAACAAAAACAACACCATCACCTGTTGCTGCTGCTACAAGTACTGAAAAGAAGATAAAGGCTACTGAACCTGTTGCCACACCATCAACAACAACTCCAGCAACAACCAAAACTGAACAAGCAACATCAGCTACAACAACAACAACACCAGCAGCTGATAAGAAGAAGAATAACAACAAGAAGGCTAAACAACAAAAGCCAAAGGCTAATAAGAAGGCTGCTTCAACAACAACTCCATCCGAGGATAAGAAGGCTACTGAATCTGTCACTACCACACCAACAACAAATTCAGAAGAATCATCATCCACAACAACAACAGAAAAGCCAAAGCCTGCTATTAAAAAGTCATCAGCCAAACAAAACAAGGAAAAGAAACAAGGAGTGAAGAGAAAACAAGAAGATGGCTCTGAAGAATCATCAGAAACAAAGGAAGCAAAGAAGACTGATAAGAAGAAGAATAAGAATAAGAAATCAAAGAAGGCTATCAAGGCTGCAATTAAAACTTTTGTCTTGAAATTGGAAATTGATAATACCTTAATTAATGAAGAGAAGATTAAGGAATGCTTCCCTGAACAAAATGCAATTATTAGAATGGGACCTAGAATGATTCTGATTCAATTCCCTACTGAAGAAGTTGCATTGAAATATTTAACATCTGCAAGTGGACAAGTTGAAAAGAATAATAGAACTGTGATTAATGGAGAAAAATTCAAGATTACCAAACATACTGTTAAGGAAATTTTCAATCCTCGTTGGTATGATGTTAAACCACGTGTTACTGAAGGTGTTTCACTTGGTTTGGAACCAGGTCAAAAAGTCAATGGAAAGTTTGGAGCATATTTGGAATTGCATTTGAAGGAAAAACTTGGAAATGATGTCAATACTTCAATTTCTGATATGGAAAAGGGAGTCACTGTTTTCTTTGATGATAAAACAACAGAACAAAAATTCAAATCAATGCTTCATAATGGTGAATTCAAGGTTCCAGCTGAATATATCAATGATAAAAAGAAGAAGGGTACTTCTTCTAAAGGACCAGCTAAGAAGAAGTTCAAGAAATAAACAATTTGTGAATTGTTTATCAAAGATGTTGAGAGAAGGTTTGTTGAACCAAGTCAGTTTTATTCTAATTACAAATAATCTCTGTACTTTCCAAAACAAACCATTTAGCACCTTTCAACATCAATGTCTACAATATGGATCTTGACATGTCTAAGGTAGAAGACAAATTTCACACGTCAACATTGACAACAAATTCAAGAAACAAAGAGTAACTTGAAGAAAAAAAATTCCAGTCTCCAGTAATGAGAATTGTTACTCAAAAGCAAAGAAGATGGGGTAAACAAACTTCCCATCAACTACAGTCATTGTTAAAAACAGCACTCGTGGTGATAACACTGTTAGTATTGACCCTTCAAAACTTATTCGAAACTGTACAGGGTGAACAACAAGTTTCCTTCACATTAGATTCTAACAAACTCATCTGTTCGGATTCTTCAAGCTACAACAGCACAATCTTTTTAAATTCATGCCAAGAAGTGCTTGGTTCAGCCTTCACTAGTAAATTATCCAGCACAACCATTGACAATCCTTCGTCCTATTCTTCCCTAGTGAGTTGTTACTTTAATTCGGATAAAAAACTTGTGGCAGAGCTTGGCTATGGCTATGAAATTCAAGATATTTTCAAAGGAGAAACTTACTACGATGCCTTTGGAAGGAAAATAGCGATTATCATCGTTTCACAATTGAAATGTAGTTTTCAAATTTCAAAGCTACAGTACATGTACTTGATTAATGTAGTAGATTGTGGAAGTAATGTTGCCAAAATTACCTACTCTCTCACTCACGCAAATGCTGATTTACCCAAATATTCAACATTTTCACATCCAATGATGGCTATTCCCTTTTCAAATAATTATATTAACAATGGTAGACCGGATGTTACTTTTAATCTTGCTACCCAAGCACTCACATATAGTACTTCAAAAGCAAGTGACCAAACCTCAGTTACTACTGGTGGTGTTATTGAGTATGGAACTACTACTTTGGTTGGAAATCAAGGATATACACAATTTTTTCTGAATGAAAGCTCAATTGACTCATACACAACAACATTTGAACAACCTACTCCTAAAACATTGTATAATTATCTATTAATCAAACAGAATAGAGATGTTGTGGATGTAACAACCTTTGCATCTGGGTATAATTACAAATTCTCCTCATCATCAGGTTATTCGAAAACAATATATACTTCATTTTCATACAAGTCAGATTGTTACTACTTGTCAGGAGGTGATAAAACTCATCACAAAACACAGGATTTAACAATTAGTATACAGTCAACTGATTTGGAAAGATGTCCATTATATGCTTTACAATACATTTTTGATGGGAATGCTAAAACTAAAACGAGTAGCACGACATATGCTGCATCTTCACTAACAGATGGTTCAGAAAAGACTGTTACAGTAACTTTGGTTCAACCAACTGGTGGATACGTTGGTGCGTTCAGAACAACTGTGAGAATTGGAATTTTCCCTGCCATGATGAGACCAGTTTATTTCCCTATTGCACAAACAACTGGACAAAAGCTAACACTTCAATCCATTATCGACATTCCTAATCTCACGACCTCTTTAATTTCATGTCAATTGATTGTTGCAACAGGAACTAATGAATATACTTCAAATTCAATTACCTATGATTATACTCCAAATTCAATTCAAGTTCAAAATTACAAAACCTATTCGATTATATCGGTTTCAATTACTGTTGGAAATCCTGGAACTTCTTACAAGATTAGAGTCAATTATAATGGAGATACAAAACATTACAATGATTTCCAAATTTCTCCACAATCAAAACCAAACCTATTGGGTATTTGTAAAGTATCCACAGTTGAATCGAACCCAATAGCCTACGAGACATTTTTTGGTATTTATTGTGAAAATTATGCAGATTTTGACTTTAGATCAATGAAAATTCAAGTATTGAACGATCAATCACAATCAATTTTGACCTTATCCAATACCAAGTACACTCGTATTTTTGCGAGATTACCAAAATCAGCAACAGGTAAATCAAATACTGTCTTGTTTACATTGACAGATAGCACAGGAGCTGTATTTGAGTTTAAGGATACCTATAAAGCTTCCATGTGGAGCGACACTAATTTGATTAGTACAGTAGATTTCTACATCAAGTCCAAGCAAGTGAGAAACTATCAAACAGCCAATAATATTGCAATTTTGTTGGACATTCTTGCAGATTATTGTAAGAGGAATACATTATCTTCTTCTGAGATGGTTACTGTGAAGGGAATTGTTCGTTATGCCATAAATGAAACATTTAACATTAGAGATACTTTCCATCCTAATGTTTATCCTGAGGCTACTGAATTATTGTTTGGATTATTTAGAGAATCAACTAATTTGGCGAATTATCTAGGATTTTCAGAGTTTAATGACAAATTGAAGGAAATTCTCTCATTTATGACAAGTTATGTAAGAAAATCATCCTTTTCCAGCACTGATTATAATTTCTTGATAGATTACATGTCAAGACTTGTGGATAATGGAAATCAAACAACTACTGATCCATCTGCTGTTTCAACTTTGAAGAAAAACATTGATGGATTGACTAATATCGCCAGCAAGAATTCTCCATTCAAGAGTGATTATTTTTCATATCAATCTCAGACCTTCTACTCATCAGATGAAATTGCTTCAAATCAAGTGAATTTGGAAAATAGTTGGGTTAGAGTGTTGTTTGGATCTGAGGTGGCCAATTTGGTAAAATCTCAATCACAATACGATTTGGAAACAAGTTTATACAAGAAGTATATTGTGGAAAATAATGTTACACTCCCAGTTATTGCCTCTATCAGTTTGAAGAGACAAGATAGCTCTGTGGTTAATGTTACTGGATTACAGACACCAGTATTAATATATTTCAACATGGATCTAATTAATTCAACAATGGCAAATCAATATAGAAACTATCAATCGAGAATTTCATGTTATTACTTGAATGAGTTGACAAGCAAGTGGGCCAATGATGGTCTAACAACAGAGATTATCACTGAAAATGGTCAAACTGTTGTCAAGTGTTCTTCCACTCACCTTACTTCATTCACAATATTCTCAGACTTGTTCAATACTACAGGTAGTAACACAAATACCCCATCAACAGATAGAAATGGACTAGATGTTGGGGCAAGGGTAGCCATTGGCGTTTCAATTTCAGTATTCTTCCTCATTTTGATAATTGTGATTGTAATTATTATCATTGTAATTATATGTTGTCGTGTGAAAAAAGGCAAAAATAGTCAGAGCAATGTTTCTGATTCTGTCCAGGAAACCAATCCAATCACCAAGAGTTATGTAGAATTGAATCCAGTCTCCAACTCTGATTCTGGTCCATCATTGTTTATTAGTGATTACAAGTCAGTGAGAGAGCCTTCATCCTCGAAACAATACGATACTACCAGTGGAAGTTCATTTACCTCAGAGCCAACCAGCTCACTCATGACTTCAACAAGTGGAAACTCTGTTATTGGAAAGAAGTATGAAATTTTGGAAAAGATTGGCCAAGGAGCATTCGGGGCTGTATTTAGAGCTAAAAATCTAGCCTATACTGGAAGATCTGGAGAATATCAATATGTTGCCATTAAAAAGATTCAGCTTTCTGGCCTCTCTGAAATGAATGACAAATTCAAAGAGGCGGTCAACATGTTCAAGATTAGAAATGAGCATTTAGTTTGTTTGGAGGATGCTGTGGTGGACGAAACGACCATGTCACTCTACTTGGTCATGCAATATTATTCTCAAGGAGATTTGGACAAGTTTATCAAAAGCAAGCAACTCTTATCTGAGAGCATTCTGAAACAAATTATTGAACAAGTATGTGAAGGATTGAAATATTTGGAAGAGGAACGTAACATGCTCCACAGAGATATCAAACCTTCCAATATTTTCCTATCCAGCTATGATGGAAACAATATCAAGACAGTGCTCAGTGATTTTGGATTGGCTAAGGAAAATAACATGATGTCAAGTGTTTCATTCGCTGGAACTCCATACTACATGTCTCCACAGGCCTTAATTGGAACCAAGTATAGCTTTAATGCAGATATCTTTAGTTTGGGATGTACCATTTTCATTCTCATCACTCATGACATGTCTCAATCCATAGCTCAATTATATTTCCAACATCAGGGCAATTTCTCTGAGGTTTATTCCTTCATTACCAACTCTATCCGTCAACATTCGAATGAACAATTCCAATACAGTGATGAATTCGTTCAGCTCTTATTTGCATTGATGGAATTTGATCCCAA